AATAACAAAATATAAAACCATTAGGTATGACATCTATAGAATTATTAACGTCAGAAAAGATGATCCGAATATAAAGTTCGATTATAAGTTAGAAATATTAATTTGATCGATTAATAAATAATTCAAAAAGTTTTTTTTTTAAGCTTAGATTAGATTTTATATGGTTCATCATTCACAAGTTTATCAGAAATATCAAGAATGATGATTAGTGATGTATTGGTTTCCCATAGTTGTCATTTAGGCAATAAAAAGGCATGAACTGATCAAGGTCTAGATTTTGGAAATCATCACTATCAATATTTCAAAGTTTATCAAGCTACATAATAGGGTGTTGATAAAGGTAATCATAATAATAATGAAATGGAAAATAAATAAAGAACGAATACTAACAAGTCAAATAAAAACTAATGCACTTGTAAAGAAAAGAAAATAAACACTTCTGTTGAAATACCAAAATAAATAAGACAGAAATATTTCTCCCATGATTGATTATCCTTCAAAGGAAATAATCATTTGTGAGCAATTCCCAAGCTGATGTATTTTGTATTAATATTTAAATGGATTTTAATTTCATTTGATTTGTTCTATTTGCTCCATCGCTATCCATTGGTTTTAAAAGTACATTAATCGTAAAACGAGATTCCCTTACTGTTAGTTGGGACTATATAAAGATAATGACGATGGAAGTGAACTTATTCGTTATGTTGTTAAAGAATATAATGCTTCAAAAAATGTTTGAAAACGTATTGAATATAATGGTTCATGCACATTCACATATACAAATACTGGATTCATTGAAGATCTTGCACGTCATTTTCATTTATATGCAGAGAATTGTGTTGGAATGTTACCAACATTAACAACAAATGATCCGATTATTCCTAAAAGTTCATATACACGTCCAGACACTAGAAGAATCATGATTAACAAAAATTGTTAAGAATTTTTCTTCTTATATAGAATGAGTATGTCAGTGTTGATATATAGCAATTTAAAATAAATAAATTACATCATGAAGGTTCTTATTTAATAGAAATCTATTCTGAAAATTCTGAAGATCAGTCATTAAAATTAGAATAACCAGTTCGTTAAAAATTGAGAGAAAAAAGTCCATTTTTTTATGAAAAATCTATCGATAATATGTATAAAAGTATATCTAACTTATGATTAGCTAAATCTTACAACATCGGACTTACCATAATTTATAGATCTTCAGTTAATGATCCTAGTACACTCTTGAAAATTCAAATTGGAAAAATTTTAACATTACACAATGTTTTGTTTTTAACAAACTTGATGATAGACTCTGAGAAATCTTGTCAGAAAAAATCTGGTAAGCATGATTCGATGCAATTTTATCTTCTCATTTAAACGATGAAAATCGTAGCTCTCTATCTAGTTTCCATCAAAACTTATTCAAAAAGATACTCACACGTTTTCTTTTTTGAAATAGGTATTAGTAAATAGACCGATACGAATAACACAGCTAGAGAAAACAAAAAAGAATAGAAAGTTAGTGTATCATTATGGTAAATTTATTGGTTAGTGAAATTTTATGTTTTAGAAAAATAAGAATGGAGAAGGCGAGAGTATAGAGAAAAAAATTTATTGATAATTGTATCATAAATTATAGAAGGTAGATTAACAAGTAAAAAAGAAATAAAACTTTAACACATTACATTACAATATATTTATCACACTTGGCTTATTTCTTTATGAATAATTAATGTTTTTTCAACAGATATTTGCATAAGCCAATTTACTGGATACACATTCCTAGAAGTGTTTTAAGAGACTTTTCAAGAACTTTCTAGTAGATCAGAAAACGTTTATATGTAGCTGCAAATGCCACAAATCGTCATAAATAGTCCTCAATCGATAGAAAATATCTCAACAACGGAGTTTCACTTCGCTTGAAAATGAAGTGATCAAGTATTTTTCACTACTGGAACTATGATCATCGTTCTCTTACCACAATTGGCCGTATGGCGAGGATCCTCGTTCGGACTGTCGAGTATGATATTGCTAAGATCAAAGAACAAGACACAATTGAGGACAGACTTTGTAATGGTTAACCTCACAAAATCACTGTCGACGATAACAAGGCACTGGCCAGTAGATTCGACTAAACAATGAGACAACGACAAAAGAACTGGCACAAAAGCCGCTTCAGGACTGGAGTCAGCACGTTTCTTAATGGATGGTGCAGCACCAGCTCAAACGAATGGATTACAAGAATACTTTACCGCATGCAACGTCAACGTTGATACAGAAACAGAAAGACCTGCATGGCCAGTGGGCAATCCAACACAAGGGCGACGATTGGGGTCGAACAATATTCACTAATGAGACCTGCTAACAATAATAATCTCTGGGCGATCATAAAATGTCATGTCGAGAAGCAACAACCATTAAACCTCGATGAACAGGACAGATTTCTGCACGACGAATAGAACAAAACTGATTCAGCCACTCTGAATTATTTAGTTGAATTGATAAAAGCACAATGTTTAGCATTGATCGAGTTGAAGAAGAAGAAGAGGATCAACTCAAGTATTAATTGTGATACTTTCGTATCCTGTACCGTGCGTTAACTAAGATATATATTCGTTTTTCATATCCATGATGTCCACCCTGAGAAAAACTTAAGAAACTGGATTTAAAGACTTTCGTACCTTATTGTAGAAATTGAGAGGTCAAATTTACTATATTTGTACACACTATGCTATGGTACGAATTCTGTTGAGAATCTTTTGCAGCGAGATATGAAATAAAAATCAGTTAATATTCATGTGGTTTTGCAGAGATTTCTAGATATTTAGCAAATTTTGTTCAGTATTTATATAAATTTTCATTTACTGTGTATTCTTTTGTTCATATATAAACCGTAAGATCGTCCAACCAATTGAGGCTATATATTATGCGTAGTCCTCAGTAATAAGATGCGTCTAATCTATCTGTGTTGTACCTCGATGCGAAAAAAATGCAGATTAAATATAGGAAAGTATAAACAAAGAACAATGCACTATTTAGTTGAATTAGAGAAATGACTATCTTCTTAAAAAGTATTCGAAGAGCGTGATAGATTCTTCTTATGTTCTTCAAACGATTTAGGATATAAATCGCTCATCTGTGTTTAGTTCTCCTATAGATCCATGGATACTTGAAACAGTTAATAAAATCAATTTTTACACCATTTTATTTCATTCTAGGGTATGATAGTGCTAGAACGTCATGAACAAGTATAGCTTTGGTTTTATTAATATTTATCGGAAGTAAGTTGTCATGCGCATATCTAACTGATATATTCATCGGCATTTCGATCTATCTTTCTAGTTCGACAATGATTCCCGAGAAGCAGTTTTCAAGAGCCTCCCAAATATGATGACATTGCCCTCCCTTTCAACCAAAACAATTCAGCTTACAAATGGTAATGGAAAATTTGGCTTGAAAAGCGTTGAAATTAAAACCGAGCACCACATCTTGTCAAACGCTGGTATGGAGTCTACAAATACTATTGAAGCTAATCTATTGTTGGCTGCGATTATTATCCTTAGATCTTCTACTAAGAACAAAATACATGTTTGAAGTGTTCTTTCCCAAGTAAAGTCGGATTATTCGTCTATGTAAATCTCCTTATCACATCATCATTTAGGAATAGACACGTGTATTATTTTCTCGAAATAATGTCAAAAACAAGACAGAAGTGAAATTGATCTAAATCTATTCATCTCTAGGAATTAATCTATCTGTTGATAGGCAAATCAGTTTAACACGTTTGCTTTTCTGAAGAACACGTTCTGTTTTCACAATTTTCTTATATATGCTATAGTAATAACTGTTAAATATTCGGCTGGAAGTGGACACAATAAAAAAAAAAACAGACAACTCTCATTATCTGTCGATTTCTTTTTGTGCACATTTCCAGTTTATTTTTCAAAGTCTTGCAATGAAATTTTTTTTCGGTTGGAATATTCGATGTTTGAGTGATAGTTTTATCTTTTTTTAATGCATGTCAATGAGTTGATATACAAGAGGCAAATGATGGACTTTCTAAATGTGTTTCGTAAAACCTTGACAGATTATTAGCAATTAACTGGTGATCTTTTATCACATCTGCGGTTGTAGTATAACCTTTAAAATGCTAGCGTATAAGCATGAAAAGTACTGTGTACATATTTCTATTTGCTATACCCTTGAGAAATATAAGACATTTTATTTTTCACTTAAACACATATGTTTCAAAATGTTCTTGCTTTTTAGATTTTCTGTGTCTTTCATGTAATGCTATATTTTCTTTATTAATTGTGCAATATATGTTGTATATGGTGGTCGGCACTTCTTGACTAGTATATAAACTTCCATCCATAACCTCTTACTTCTTTTTTCTAGATTTCTTAGCATTATTTGGTATTGAAGTAAGGCATGTCACGGCGAATGTGCAGTAAAGTCTTGGGAAACTTTTGTTATGTTTACATTGGCATAGAACATAATAAAAAATATTCAAGTCTACTTTTAGTTTTTCGAGTCAATCGTACCAAAAAGTTGTAAATTCACTCTTATGTATAGAATTTATGTTCCTTTTTTTGTGGACAGAAGTATATATTAAATAGAGAAAAAAAAATGAAATGAAGTGAGAAGATACAAAAAAATAGAAGTTATCTTCCAACACATTTTCAACCATGAACATAATATAATAAAAACAAACATGAACATCAAATACAACATAAAAAAGAAAAGTACATTAGCATATAAGTTTTTTTTTTTTTTTTTTTGTTATTGTTCTTTTCTTTTTTTACATCGACACAATCGTCATTATATATAAAACAAACTGACGTGCATATCAAAAGAAAGAAAAAGAAAAACAATAATTCAAGTACACATATACAAACACATGAAATGGAAGACATTGAAACAAAAGAAAGTTTTGGAATGTAATCTACTAAGTAGATTCAAATTGTTAATCAAAGGAAGAAAAAAACTAAAATTCAATATAATTATTATACAGTCTGTAATGCTGAACAAAGTGTTGTTGGAATTGAATTTGATGTTCGAAGTGATGCACATAATGACGAAGATGATGATGATGATGAACTTGAAAACGTTGGTGAAGAGTTAGATGATGACAGAGGTGATGACGTTGCTTGTGGTATTGGCATCGATGGTGATATTGGTTGACTTGATGTTAATCCTTCAAAATGACGAAATATCAATGCAACATAATACATTACACGTTCCCAATCAGGCCATTCAGATGAACACATTTCTTCAACATCCTAATAAAAAAAAAAAAATATATTATATTCATTAAAAAAAAGCTTCTTTTCTTTTTACCAATATTGATACAATTCCAACACTACTTGCAACATTAAAAGCAATTTCAAAACGTTTTTTCTAAAGAAAATGAAAAAATAATAATCATATGAAATAGAATATTTATTTTTAATTTACTTTTGCTTCATTTTTAATTATATCAAGATCAATACGATCAGGTAAATAAGAATGTAATAATGAACAAAATGCAATACCATCTGTCCATGAATTTGAAAAATTTGTTATTGATATTCCCTATTAAAATTATTAAATATGAATTAATATTATTTTTCTTTAGAATTAAAATTTACATAATTAGCTAATTTTTCACCACACCATTTTAATAAAGCATCACGTTTACAAACACTTCCTGGCATTCGTGCAAAAACAGCTTCGACTATTGATTTCATTTCATCATATTGTTCACTGGAAACAAATTGTAAAAAAAAATAATTTTTTTTTTTTCGAATTATTTTCATACTTTGTAATCGATCGAATGGAAATATCTGATCGATGACTAGTATTTATACAAGATGACGATGATGGAGAATCATGTTTTCCTGTTGTTGATAAAAGTTTAGCATCATCGGTTGTTGTACCAAATTGCCGATGATGAGTATTTGTTAATATAGCATTGGTTTCTGTACGTGTACATGGTTGTGATAAAGGTCGTTGACGAATTGGAGATTCAATATGATTATTTAAGGAGTCTAAATAAAGATAATAAAACGTGAATTTTGCTTTTTTTTTTAAAAAAGATTATTATTACTATTTCGTGAATTAGCTTCTAATGTTCGGATCATTTCTTTAATTCTTATATGACCAAAGTCTAAAAAGTTTTTAAAAAAAAATTACAAAATAAAAATAAAAATTCAGATATTTTACCAGAAAACCCATTATTATTTCGGCTTGTTGGTGGTAATTGCATCTAAAGAAGTAAAGAAAAATATTTTTTAATTGTCAAAACTATAAATTCTTTGTGGACTGAACGAAAAAAAGAAATGCTTTCTTATGAAGAAAAAAAGCCAGCTGCTACTATATCCTTTCTACCTTCACAAGCAAATGTCAAAAAAGATTTAAGTTGATAACGATCAGATTACTTTTTCATCCGAACAAAACGATTTCTGTTCAGAAACAAAATCAGTTGAGTCCAAACTTTTAAAACCTAGTTCAGTTCAATTCCAGAAATAAAAACGCAAATTGATCCTATTTCTGATAATTATATTCTTTCGTTCTAGTTTTCCGTGATATGTATGGCTTTGTACGGAATAACGAATTTCTTCATGAAAGGAAGCGATTTCCTCATCAACTGATCCTATTTCCTGTACTACTGCGCAAAATTATTGATTACAATCATGGCTAGAACAATATGAGACTACATAGACAAGAAACGAACTTATATCTGATATTTTAAAATATCAAATAAAATATCCACTGATATATTAATTCATATTTTCGTTTTACTCTTTTCTTAGATATATTAATAAGTCCTTCTGCTCCCAAACGATTGAGCTCCGATCAAAAAGAAACATGAGCCATTTCTAGAGACATCATCAGAGAGTATTCGCTTCATTTACCGACATGGTCATGGGGAGGGCTGAGCTCGCCTCAAAACTTTTTCTTGCTTACCTGTCTTCGTTGAACTTCTTTATTAATTGCTTTTTCTTGTTCAATATGTTCTGTAACACGTTTAAGATCATCTGTAGCTTTACTTAATCGATCTTCGGCATCTAAAATAATACAAAATAAATTCATGTATTTAATTTTTGAAAAATAAAAGAAACAAAATGAATAAATACCATGTCGCATTTCACTTGCAACTCGTACAGCAATTAACATATCAGCTAAAGTTTCATCTTTTTCAATAGTAACTAATTCAAGTTGTTTTTTTGTGTCAGCTAATTTTTTTTCGACATCTTCAATTTGTGCTGATAATAAAGAATTTTTTTCTCTATATTCAGCTATTTTTTCTTCATAATCATCTTCTTTATCAATTAAAGCTTTTTCTAATTTACGATTTTCTTCAATTAATTCTCCACAACGTATTGATGCTAATGCTTTATCTTTAATAACTTCTTCAATTTTGATTTCTAATTCATTAATATGTTCTTTTAAACTATGAATTTCTTTTTCATGTTTATCTTCAATTGTACGATAATTTTGTTGTAATGTTTGATATTGTTTTTGTGAATATTTTAATGTTTCATCTAATGTTGCAATTTTTGTTTCATGTTCATAACGTTGTGCACGTAGCTTTTCTTGAATATTTTGTAATTCAATATCGGATAAAGCTTTTGATTTTGTAGATTCTTCAGCCTAAAACAAAACAAAAAGTAGAAAAGAGTTTTGTTTGTTTTTAAATAAGAAATAATATTTTACCTTTTTTCGTTCATGATCGACTTGTAATTTTAGTTTTTGATTCTCTTGTTCAAGACGTTCATATGATTTTTTCATTTCACTGAAATCATTTGTTAAACGTTCATTTTCATCAGATTTTTTTTCAAGTTTTATTTTTGAACATAAGACATTATCACGCATTTTCGCTGCTTCACTTTCGTAATGTTTTAACTGTTCTTCTAATTTTTGTATACGTTCATGTGTTTGTCGCTAAATAATTTAGAATAAAAACATATTTTTATATATTTATTATATGTTTATTATACCTGTTGACTTAATAACTCATCACGTTCTTCATGAGATTCTTGTAAAAGAGATAAGAGTTTCTTTTCGTCGTTACTGTGTTCTTCTTCTAAATTAGAAAAAAAGAATTTTAATCATATATATATATTTCCTTTTGTAAAACTTCTATCTTATACTATGTAAGCATGCCTTTCTTGGGATTTATGTGTTGTATGATTATTTACCATTTCTTATCATTTGCTCCAATTGTTCATTCTTTTGCTTTAGATTACGTAATTCATTCGAGCGCTCATCGACAATAAAACACAATTGATCACGGTCCTTCTTGCCGTTCGTCAATTGTTGTTCCTGCTGTTTGATTATCGCCTGCATACCACACGCACGCATAAAAGAGAAGAAAAAAAAGAAAATGAGAGACAAAGATTAACACTTGCAGTATATGTGCATGATGTAAAGACAAAAGAAAACAAAAAGAAATAAATGAAGAAAAAAACCTCTATATTCCCTTATTCGATAGTCTCACCTGACAATCAGTGAGTTCGCGTAGAATAGCTTGGATCTTTTCATTTTTTGATAATGATTCATCTGTCAGAGCTTTAAGTTGTTGTTGTTGTACATGATGATCATGTTGATTTAATTGCAATGGTGGTGTTTGAGTTTGAATTGAATTTGTTAATATACGACGTTTTGTATTGTTTTGATATGGTTGTGATCCGGATTGTTCATCAGCAAGTATTGTTGGTACTCGTTTATTTATTAATGTTGTTGGTCGTGGAACTGATGGATATGATGATGTTGATATTGGTGAGATGTTATTATTATTATTAGTATTATTATTAGCATTTGTTTGTCGTTGTTTTTCATGTTTAACTTCAATTTCAATTTCACTTTTATGACGAATTTCAGCTCGACTTGTTGGTACTGAACCTGTAAAATTCGTCGATTTTATTATAGAACTGCCTGATTCAGGACTAGTAGGACTAAGAAGAGTATTATTTGACGGGGTATTTGAAGCTAAAAAGATGAAGAAAAAAAACAAAAGATTAAAATAGTTATATATAGTTTCATGTTGTTAGTTTAACTCTATTTTTACCTTGAAGCATTTTTTATCATCTATCCTTATGTTGTGAAGTCTTTTATCTTGCCTTAAACACTTATTCTTTTACTAAAAATACGATGAATTGATCTTTCGTTTTTTTTTCTCTTCTTTTAATTTACAATTTAAATGCTAACTCTGACCTTCAATGTATATGAGATGACTTTTAACATGAATGAAAATGATTATATTACACAATATATTTTTATGATGGATTGACGAGGGAAAAAAACCTATCGTACTAGGAAATCAACTCTTATTTTTTTTGCAAGAGACAGACTTAGTATTTATTATTCTGATTATTATCGACTCAAATGATTTCAACGTGTACGATCGACAAATATACCGACAAGATTTAAGAAATAATATAATGCTCGAAGCTACAGACAATCTGTAATTGAAAAGTGTCGGTTTGGTGTACTTTTCTTTTTTTTTTTTTCTTGTATGATTTCTTTATTCTTTATTCTACATTTTCTTTTACCGTATACTCGTTGTTGTCGTTTAATTTGATGCCATGTTACTGTAGACGGACATCTATCACGGCTTATCGGTATCCATAGATAAGGTTGTAATGAACAACAATTAGAGATAGTAATCGAATTGTTACTTAACATGATTATATCGGCTGTTTTTTTGCATTTATTATTAACTTACTTATTTCTTGTTCTTTCTTTTCTTTTTTTTTATTTTGTTATGTTTTTCGATTATACAGATTTTGCACTATCACTTGTCACTATCTCAATTGTTTCAGGGTCAACCATTGATACTCTTCTTTATCATTACGTCAAGTCTTACTATTGACTCTTATTCTCACTCTTTCCTTTTCCTTTGTTATGTATAAGGATATAAATACAAACATATCTTACGATAAGGTCAGAACAATTACGATAGTGAACACATATTGCTCGACTATATATAGAGAGAAAAAGGTGTACAACGAGCCTTGAAAAACCGGCACAATAGGCTATATATATATACTTTCGCCTATCAAAATATTTGTAGTAGTTACTTGGTTGATGTCAAAAATTACCTTCGATCAGTCTTTTATTGTAACACGTACAATATAGGAGAGTAAAAAAAAGAAAAAAACGAGTTCGATTTGTTTCAAATTACACGACTGATTATTCGAACGAGATAATGACACGTAGAGACATAATAAAAAAATGAAATAGCAATATAACATGTATTCGAATTGGATCGATGTCTACTATTTTTTGTTGTTATCTATGATCATTTACATACTTTTATCAATGAAATCTAATTTTTTTTTCTTATTACAACACAACTGAAACACATACTCGATACGGCCTTAAAGTTATATTCAAGTATTTATTCGTCACCTCAACTTCCAATATACACACAAATGACTTTGTAATGAACTAGACCATACATTCAAGGATTTCTTCTTCTCTCTCTCATTTTTCAACTATCTACAATAGTGATGCAATCGAACTAGTATGTATATAAATAAATATATATATACACAAAGAAATCGAATATGATGAAGGATTAACAAGAGACGATGTCGCCAATGATATGATATTGAATATCATATATGTTTAGGGACTCAACTTACTCGTTGGTATAATACAACAGATGTCGGGTAATAAAAGAAGCTGAGAATCTTCAGGTGATTGATGAGTATAATTAAGTGATGGTGATGATGATGAACAAGATGGTGTATTTCGACGTTTTTTAATTGTTATATAGATTGTATGACAAAAAGATAAAGCATCTGTTGAATGCATAACTTTCTTCGATATAGGTTTATTTGTTAATGTCGGGAAAAAAGACGACGAAGAAGTTGGTGATTTATTTAACATAGACGGATTTAATAAAGATGATGACGATGATGAACAGTCTTTTCTTTTATTATTACAATAAAAGGAATTTTGTTGTTGTTGATTTAATGTATCCATTTGACGAAGAAATTTTTCTTCTTCGTACGGTGAATAATAAGGAATTAAATTTTCATAAAACATTATGTGTATATATATATATAGATTAATATGAGAAGAGAATTAACAATAATATTCTTCTTCTCTTAATAAACAAGTTTATTACTGTTAAAGTTCAATTAATAATAACGGGAAAGAAAAAGTCGAGAAAAATAAATAAATAAATAATAGAATAAAAGCGAAATAAGTAAACTGTTACTGTATGTAAGTAATCAAACAATCGTCTTATCAACGATGCATATGATCTGTCTGTATATATGTGTTGAATATTGTACCAGTCAGAAGTCCATAGAATGTTAAAGAGGTGGTAATTTAGACAATCATGCGCGCGGGCGCGCCACCTCAAAATGCATCGTATATTTCGAACAACGTTCGATGCACCACCAGAACGCAAAGAGAAAAAAACTGTATATGTATACACATCTATAACTATCACTCTCTTTTCTTAGTATACGTAGTATACATACTATGGTGAATTTTGAGCCTTTAATGATGTTACATAAGATAGAATAGCGAGTGAAGTATAGCGCGAAAAAATGAAATCAATTTTGTTTTTCTTATACTGACTGAATACAACATCGTTTTTTCATGTTTCATATAATGATCAAACAAACGAAGACAAATATCGTTTAGACAAAATTTGACTACTAATGAATATATATATTATATGAGTAAAGGAAGAAAGAAAAGACTAAAACATAATGATTATTATAAAACGAATATTTTCGTATATTTTCAAGTATGTCAAAATTTCTTTTCGATCGAAAATAAAAAAAAATCTTAATCATTATTATCTTGACATTTCATTATCAATTAAATATCTAATTAGTATAGAAGATAAAAAATATATGAACATTGCAGAAAAAAAAAACCAAACACAAACAAAAGTAATGTTTTTTATTGTTGTTACCTTCAGTTAAATAGATGAAAAATACTGAACATGCTGATGACATTAGTTAATCTTCAATGGTGATTTGAAACAGATTTTATTCGTATAAAAAGAAAAAAGTCTATTTCTATAAGCTTAATAATAATTGAAAAAAGATGAATGTGAACTTTCTTTACTTAAAACAAAAGACATCTATCCTATCTTTTCTTTTTTTTTCTCATTCGTCATCGGATTGATTGAGCAAATAGACAGGTTTACTTATGTTCTATTATATCATACATATGTGTATCAATGTATATTGAAGAACCAATGGATTACTATGCAGATGAATTAAACCATATTACGAACCTCGATTGAGCTTTGGATGCTTCCATTTAAAATAGTACATTTAATAAGAGCAATGAATAGAGTTGAAGAGTACAATATAATGATATGATGCACACAGACAGTGAACAGTGCACAATGATAATTGATAAATAAAAGAAAAAAGAAAAGAAGACGAAAGAGAAAAAAAGTAAATGTGATCATCGGTTCACTCGAAATTGAAATGTCAGGTAGACGATGACGATATTGTATTATTTTAAATGGGATGTGAATGTCTCGTCTTTTCTTTGTGTGAGAGTCAAACAGCAATTATGATTTGTTTTCCATATCTCTAGAATGAATACACACACAGACAAACACATATATACACACATGTACGTAGACATAAATCTCCTCTATTCAATGCAAAGGCTTAATGCTCTAATTGGCTACTGCCGACAAAATACAAAGCATGAACCACTTGAAGAAAAAGAACAGAATTAGTAATACACCAAAACAATAATAATTAATCCGCCTTCAAACATTCGAGCCAATTATCATAGAAACAACAATTTTGCTTTAGGCAAAACAAAGATTCTTGTCTCACCAAAATGCAAAATTAAGTACGTGTAAATGGATATTTCTTTTTTTTTTATAGTTAATGATCATCATCAGGCAAATGTATGCGTGTTCATATGAACGTGATGAACGTCGCAAAACTAAAATGTCATTAAACTAATGTTTACTGTGTAAAATTGTACGACATGTACACCTTGCAAATGTCAGCCGGCCAGTCATACAATTACTGTTAGTCTCTTTCAAAAAAAAAAAAAAGCTTGTGACCGTAAATGAATCATGAGTGTTACGATAACAATGGCAAGGGCAAACGAGAAACTTTATTTTTTTTTTTTACCTTTGTGTACAACAGTCGATTGTGATGACGGAGGTGGAGATGTTGGTTGAGGTGGTTTTCGAAATCGTCGAAAAAGACGCATCATAAGATATGATTATTGAAACGAAACAATACGATTGTCGTTAATAATACCGATAGGAAAGAAAAGTTTGCTGATCAGCTTTTAGTTCGATCTATATATGTATATGTGTATAAGCGTATGTTGTTTTGGCGAGTGTGATGAAGAGCAAGCGAGAGAGAGAGAGAGAGACGAAAATGCAGAAGAGAAGAGAAACGTAATGTGTACATCTATGTACAGAATAAGAAGAAGAATAGAAAATGGAGCAGAATTGAGGTGAAAGCTTGTCTCTTTTTCTCTCCCATTTCTTTTCTGCTATTTTTTGTGAGACATATAATACACAAAACAAGGTCGTTTCAGACAACGGTTCTTGTACTCACACGTGTCCCCGATAATACAACGCTTGATTGAACGCGCACGTCCTCGATTAAATACTCTATAATATATTATCACATTAAAGAATATAAAGAATAATCGTCTATCATTTCGAAAAATCGATATCAAATTTATTTTGAAGTATATGTACTTCAAATATCTATTATGTCATCATATTCAATCAATAGATCGATTTCTTTCATTTTCTTTTCTTTACTTTTCTTTTCGATTGAATTGTCTTAAACTTTGTTGCTATCTTCTCTATTAATTGAACTTCCTGCTGAGTGACTCTCTTTGTCAACAAGAATAATAATCAGATATGATTTATATACGTCTCATGTACAGATAAGAATAGTTATATTGATCGATGATGATTACAAATGATTTTTGAAATGATTGAAAAGTTCTTTTACGTTTTTTTTTTAACTTTTTATATATAATTTCTTAAATTTATTATTGCTTACATTTTTGTTGTTGAGCAAATAATTCAAGTTCTTGAATACTTTTTTTTAATAAATCATTTTCAATAAGCATTTCTTCAAGTCGAGCATTTAACATTGTTTGTAATTGCATAGCTTGTTCAATAGATTCATTTGATGGTGTAGATATACTAATACGTTTTTTTTCAATATGCTCTCGCATTGTTTCGAGTTCATCGGTTTTGATTTTTAAATCATGTCTCAATTGATCGATAATTTGTTGAAGAGCTTGAACATTTGAATTTTCATTTGATACATCATTAATTGATGATTGTTGTTGTGGACGTTTAATACGAAAAAGACTAAAACGACGACGTAATAGAGATGTTGAATTAAGTGAAGTTTGGGGTGTTTGAATCGATTTTGTTTCAAAACCATTGAGAGCTGTTTGAGATTTTTTCATTTTAGTTGTTTTAGTCGATTGTTTTGGTGATTGATGTTCAATGTTTGATAAAGACTCAGAACTTTTACTAACTAATTTTGACGACTTTATAGGAGAAGCTATTTGATAAGTATGATGAGATGATGATGATGATTTATTTGTTGCCATTTATATTACCAATATAGAAAAAACGATAATGATCTAGAAGAAAAAATAAAAACAAAAAAAGCAATTAAAATAAAGTAAATGTACATGATAGACAAAAAAATGTTTTTGTTATCATCAACTTATCGAGAGAAAAAAAGCAAATCATTAATTTCATAAGATTTCATCATTAGTTTTGAAATTTAACGAAGATTGTATTTAGTGAATGGAAGAAAAGACATACTACCAAAATCGTATAAATAAACATATGAATAAATGGATGACTACTGCAAAAATACTTATCGACTTTTTCTTATAAAATAATTAGCGAAATAGGATCAGTTGAACAGATGGTTTCTTACACACGTATATAAGCTTTCACAACTATGAACATGCATTATTCATAAAACGTGTTATAGTCAATATGCGAAGTATTTTCTTTCTTTAATATGGAATAGTATGGATTCTGTTCTACTATTGGGATCAACTATACATTCTATTGAATATATGCATACTCTATTGATGACACAACTCAAATACTTCCAATGGCACAACTTCCCCTTTTCTATATATATATATATATGCATGCATACAAAGAATAGGTCATCATTGTATTCATCACTTCATTAAACATATCCATACGATGCCTACATTATGAATCTCATATAAAAGCGAATGGACATCGTCCATAAAACTTGTCAATGTATAGAACGCGAAAAACGACACTCTGTACATTGTATACAAAAAGATAAACAAGATGATCTCTCTCGTATGATCTTGAATACATATGATATGTCATTTACTGATAAACAAATGTATGCAATACATACATATACCTGTTCTACTTTGGTCTGCTTTTTTTTTTAATCAAGATAATATCATTGTTTGAAAGAAGCTTACACATATATGTATGTTCATACAATTAGATTCTCTATATATGTTTTGATCTCTCTTTCTAGTTTTGTATGATGAACATATGGTCTCATCATCATCATATTCGAAAACAATCATAGCGATAAGAATAGAAAAAGAAAGCTATGAAGCGTAAAACAACTGCATATAGTAATTAGCTTGAATATAAATGCGGAAGAAATAGAGAAAAAATGAACAAGAAAGGAAACGAAGGTGATTTATAGTCGAATAACTTTTTTGTTAGCCTATAAACTTCAAAAAGATACCGCAATTTACTAACTGTGCCTAGAAAAAAAAATACATCGGACAATGCTAATATGATCAGTAAGGCGAATAAATAAAAGAAGGAAGTTGATTTGATTTTTTTTCCTTCTTGTTCTCAGTGATCCCAATCAAATTATAATGATGATGTTTTCCATCATCATCATCACATTCTTGTTACGTTAATATAATCTGTTTTCATGTATCATCTATTGTATTCCTGATCTAACTAACTATTTCTCATTTGCATCTTTTTTTGTCTTGATCCAAGGAAAAACAAAAGGTTACTTTCAAGATTAGGCATCTTTGATTATTCAATAATAATTCATTGATTTTGAATACAAGGTTATCCATTAGTTGATCATAAGACAAAGCAGTCAAAGAAAAAAAAAAGAAATGAATACGATGATTACAGTCGACGAGGGAAATAAGCAATATGGCCTTCCCCTCATGCAAAAATCATAAGCTACTCTTACTAACTACTGTTAGGAGAAATGGATGACTAATTGAAAATGACCTCGAACCGGAAGAATAAGTACTTATTCATGTCTATCTTTCAACACCAAGAGATAAAGTAAAAAAACAAAAAAAAGAAAACTCAATGTATCAATCAAATCTTGAGTACATACCCACGCACACTAGAGAAAAAAGCTCTCTCGGTTTTTTTTTTAATATGTGTTACTCAACGACACACTTAAAGAATTAATGGAGATGTTAGAAGTTTTCAAAAAAGAAAAGAAAAGAAAAATCATCATTTACCTTCATTGAAATTTCGAAGGTCATTTACCATTTGAGGGTGTGTCTATTAATACGTAGAACATCAATTACTGTTCTAGAAAAGAAATTAAATCAACGAAAAAAAGAAGAAACGAATCAATCAACATCTAATATAATTAAAATCATCATGACCACTATCATTTGCTCTCTCTCTCATACATAAAGAATATGAGAAGAAAATGAAGTGTTTTAACCCATGTCGATGACACTCACCAGAAAAGTGTACACGTGCACAAGCAATGACAACAAAAAAAAAAAAAAAGGGCAAAGCAAAATATTCGAAATAGAAAAAATAGTGTGAACAATGAGCGTTCAATAGAATAATAATCACTATGTTAAATTAAAGTAAAAAAAAAAAGAGAAGCAGCTGTTACTATTGTCGATTGACCACATATATTCATGATACAAAAAAAAAACCTAAAAGGACAAAGAAAAACGAGGATTAAGAAAGAAAAGACGAGACGAAAGGTCATCAGTCGTTCATCGAAGAATTTTATGTTTACAAATGAAAAAGCACACGCACGTATACTCTCGTATCGATAGAATATATACATGCACGAGAACTTAATCACTTCAAGTGAGAAGACTTTTTTGTTTGACTTTGACGACATGTACAATTTCCTTCTTATACTTCTCTCGATTTCGTATGGTACACTTGAGCGTTTATTCAATGTCACGAAAGACAACGAACAAACAAAAGTAGCTGCCATGTAAAAACCAAAAAAAACACACTGAAATTAAAGAAAAACGAAAGAACAAGGAAGGTAATATATACTCATTTAAAAAAATGTTCATCAATTCTTTTTTGTTTGCTTTTGATTAAACCCTTTTTTTTTTAAATTTGTCTATAAAAAGATTTGATCATATATATAAATAAAAAAAAACCAGATATTGTCAGTTTGGACTTTTTCTATTCTGTTTTATATAGGGCAATTATCAAAGTAATGTTCCGTAGCCAATGAATGACATTACCGTCTTTCAAGCGTATAGGAATCCATTTTGATGAAGACGAGAAGGTTAATGACAAACCATTCTTATTAATGCGCCATGTTCTATAGTGAAAAAAAATTGACTAATATCTTTCTTTTTTTCTTTTTTGTTTTTATTTGTTCATATTATTCGATAATAAAATGAATTCAATATTGAAAATTTTTTTTCGACAAACAGAAAATCTTCTTTGTCTAACAAAAACCAGTATACTTATATATCAATTGCAAAAAAACCTTACAAATGATAATATTAATTTATTTGATATAGAAAAAGATCAATATCAATGTACATTTTCATATGATTTATGTAATGAGCTTCGATTGATACAAAAAAATTTGCATTCAACTTGTTTTTTACTTCAACGAACGCTCTATCGTGTTCAGGCATTAAGACAAATACGCGGAGAATTATCTATTCAAATTGATGATAATCTTATTATTAAATATAACGAAAATCTTTCATATGAATTAGATAATATTCAAGAAAAAATTCTATTAATTATAAATGAAAATATGTTAAGCAATTCATCTTTAAATACTCTTCAAATATTTTTTAAACAAATTCAAGAAAATTTTGAAATATTTCTCAATTATATGTATTGGATGCCAATACATAAAAGTACAATTTATCTTGGAAATTTAGTTTCAAATACACTTGAAATGTTTTATTTAATACTTGGTAGTCTCGCTTGTTTTATTCAGGATATCGAAAAGATTGAAAATTAAATAAAACAGTGAAACATAAAACGAAAAGAAACAGAAACAAAATAAATTTAATCTTCAATATCATTCGTTTGATCAATAAGAATGTCATTCATTGAATCTCCAGCTACTGTTCGAGATAATTCTTGTGCAAGTTTATCATATTCAGGTTCATAATTATGTGCAAATTCAATGCCTTTTCGAATCTTTAAAAGTAAAAAGTATTATATTTAAAATATTAGAAATACAATATATACTTTTGCTTTTTTTCGAAGATTAGGTGAAAGTTTAAGACAAATAGTCCAACCACTAAAAAAAATAAAAGAAAAATAGCCGCTGGGTCAAAAGTTTTGAGACAGAGTATTTGTTTATTTTTCACTTTCTTGAGTACGTTTTCGAGCAGTCAAAATTCGAGATTAGTGAAGGGATTTTGTAAAAGTTCAAAAAATTAGTTTCAATGGTACTTCAATACGTGTTCACTAGCACTTTTAAGTTGTTTTTCGAAGATATCGAAAAATATTAGAGTCGATTGTTTAGTTGAATGAACGCTTCTTTACAAAGTGTTATATTGAACTAAGTGGTAGTATTTACCACAGTGACACGATAAACATCTTTCAAGAGCTACTGTCAATATAAAATAGTTATCGATGAGGGTTTACGAGAAATGAAAACTGAAGTAATCTGTAGAAAAACAAAAAGAATCCAATAGTACATTTTGTACGGTAGCTTCTGCTCTACAAGGGGATATTAATAAACGTGAATGGAGAAATTCATCATTGAAACAATCTTTTAGATCTTTCAAAACAATCATCTCATTGGTCTTAAGAAAAATTTCTTTTTGGCCAGAACCCATAGCTTTCGAGTCCTTGAGAATTTTCAAGGAAGTCAAAAATAAACAACATTTTGTGTCAAAACTTTCGGCTCATCCGTTAATAATAATTAAAAAGAATACAGATTGATTACGTGATTTTTGATAGTTTTGTTCAGTTTACTGGATTTATTCAAAAACCTCGGAGATTTTCTATTTGTACAAAGTTGAATGGATGGTCAATTACTCCATTAAACTATATATATATTTCATTTGATTTATTTCAAGGAGAAAATAATAGACCTCGAAACGGACATCTCTGTTGTTCCTCTCTCGATTTATCTATTAATTTTACTATAGGCTTATACATTTTCTTCTGAAGAATCTTTTCCTGAACCTTTTTATGGACTATTTTCTGTTTTTCTTCAAGGAAATTTGAGTTACTTGAGTATACGAACTTTGTTTTGTGAAATTTTACGAAAACTAAAATAAACTTGATTTTGCATAAATACAAAAATGGCTCAAATTTTTAAAGTAAAATTCGATTTTCTCTTCAATTTCAAACGTCTTTTGTTTCATATTTTCTACACGTTCTACTTTGATGAATTTCTTTCAATGAAAACAGTTTTCATTATTAACAAATTCCATTACACTGATTCTCGATGTTTATTGAATGTTCAGAGAAAATACAAAAACAAATCAAATGAAAACTGTATAGATCGATTAAACAATTGATGCTCTATCTACCTAGCTCAAAATAAGAAATATCTCACGTTTTTTTTTTATAAATACAACGAAGTAATTAGGGAGCTATCCCAAGTGATATCCACAGTTTGAGTTCATATTGAACTTACAAGCTACTCTCAGTGGGAGTAGCAAAAGCCTAAAAGAGTTCGCCTCTATAAACCTTTGACATCGAGTCATGTGCTGGGTTCATTGAATTTTCCATCCAAAATTTTGCACATAGATAGATTTAATGGTTCTTCGGCAATTCTGAAAGTTTCAGCCGAAAAGAATGTTCCTTCGTTGAGTTAAGGAATTTTTAAGTGAGTTTAACTTTTATGACAAAGAACTAGTTTTGGAAATATAATATCTTGATGAAAGAACGTTCTTTTCGGCTGAAGTTTTCAAGATTTTCTAAAAGTCATTTGGTTTGTTTATAGGCAAAATTTTAGATCGAAATTGTGTCATTTGACTTTTTGAGAACTATCCACTAAACTGATCATAGCTCGTCGACAAAGACTCATGGGAACGAATCCATTTAGGCTTTTGATATTCTTCCTGCGACCTGCTTATGGGTACAATAATATGAGTTCAAGACGGTGAGTGTCTATTATAGTAATTTCCTTGTCAGCATAACCATAAAAAATAACGTAATCATTTTGTATTTGTTCTAAAACTTACGTTTGATCACCAACTAATAAAATTGGATGAATAGGATTAAAAGAAATTTTTGTACATGTTTTTCCTGATTCACTTGCTAAGAATTGTTCACAAATTGGTTCAAGTTTATTTGAATAAATATCAAATATGTAGATTTTGCCATCAGCTCCAGCTATAGCAAACATAGTAGATGTATAAGGGGACCAAGCAATATCTTGTAAACTTGTACATAAATCAAATCTCATTAAACATTCACTAGAATATTACCAAAAATTGATTCAATGAGTTTATTAAAAAAAAACTACAAACGTAATTTTTTCATGCCATATTTTTACTGTACCATCAGCAGAACATGAAGCAAAAATATTCGGATGAAAAGGACTACAGAAAAATTAGATAAGATTAATAAAAAATATAAAATGAAAAAGAAAAAGAAATCAAAACCTCCATTGAATAGAATAAACAGAAAAATCATGAGCATCAAATATCATATCAATAATTCCAGGATCATTACTTGATGCTTTATAGATCTTACCATCTTCTGTGCCAACAAGAAATATATCTTTTCGATTACGATGAAAATCAAGTGCTATTGCCGGACCTATATATAAATATTAACATCAAAAATTGAATTTGTGTTTTTCTTCTACATACCTGGCAACGATAGAAGAGTGCCATCATCAAGTCGTGTAGCTTTCGTTGCACTTGGTAAATCAAGTAAAAGTACTTGTCTTAATTCACCTTTAATACATGTCCATCGCATTACTTTACCATCAGCACCAATAGAAAAAAATCGAGGTTGATGATTAGTAGATAAATGACACCATCGAACCTTATGAAATATTAATTATATTTATACAAAAAAAAACTTCTTTAATTCCATACTTGCCAAACACATCCATAATGTTTACACATGTAAGATGCATTTGTAAAAACAGCTTTACCAGATGGAATTGATATATCATAAACAATTACATCACCATCCATTAATCCCACACATATAAGATATCTTTAAAAAAATTGATGAGGAAAGGAAAAAGAATAAAATATGAGAAATTATTTAGTAAAAACATATATTACGGTTTTGAAGGTAAACAATCAATAGACAATACAGTACTGTCAGTATGAATTAAAGTATCTGGATGATTATTATTCAATGTAAATACAGCAATTGTACCTTGTATTCGTTCAGTTCGATCATCTTAAAATATAATGAAACGAGAAAAATATATGTTGTTACGTGTAGAAAAATCTTACAAAGTCCATATCCAATTATTAACATATCGGAATAAGCTGGATTCCATGTTAATGCAGTAACAGATCGATTAGCAAATGATGGTGGAAATTTCCATAATGGAAATAATGTACCCATCGGATCACGTACTTCATCTGTTTTATCTTCAAAATACTTGAAATCTTTACAGAGAAAGAAAAGTTTCGCCATGAAAATAAATTTATATATATATATATATGTGAGTTGCAACTTTTTGGTACGATCGATGCGAAACATGAAAGCAGACTTAACCAGTTTCTGAATAGTATTATTATGTTGTATGTTTATGTTACATAGAAAAATTTTCCTAACACTTTCCTGTATATTCATCCAGATACGACTGATTAGTCCTTTTAGCATAGATATATGTAAAAATGTTGCTCTTTCAGCTGCATCTTAATTAAAAAAATTAGTTAGCGAGTACGTCCCTAACCATAACAAAAAGAATCTGAAAATTTCAGGATAGACTTTACCAAACAAATTGCTTCTGTACTTAAAATTTCAGCAAGATCGGATTCCCCACAACTTTTTCTTAAGAAACATTTTTCTAAAGATCTTACCGAGTATCGAAACAAAAACTTTTGCCTTACCGTTTTCTAGAGATTCCGAAGCAGGCTTTATACTGTTTAAAGTTGGTTTTGAACTTCTCATTCGACTACAAGAGCATTCTTTTCGTACTCCGTCACATTGCTAACGAAAATTAAATCGATTCTTTCTAAAAAAAAACAGCCTACGAATGATCAAAATAAAACTTTAGATAGAGATTTTGTAGCCGTAGGAGTTGTCTACAGAATATAGTATTTTGTTTTCAAAAGTGTTACTTCGATTCGGTATTGTTTAAACTAAAACGTAGGAAATGAAAGTTAAAATCCTTTTTGACGCTAGTTTTTTACTGATAATTTCTCTAAACAAAAGTCTGTAGTGCTTACTTTTTTCAGAATATTTAGAGTAACTTAATGTACATATAACATATAAAAGTTAGCTCTAGAAAAATTCATTATGTCGAGATACAAGTTGTTAGGACGTATTTTTATTGTCATCAAATGGACAGTCACAATGACGAATAACTAGACCAAATGAAGAAGAAAACAAACAATAACGCAAACTAAACGTAATCGAAAAACTAACAAAAGAAACAACAATCCATATCTATATGGATAATGAAAAACTAATATAGAGATTGTTAGCGTTCTCGCTCACGAAGAGCGACGAACACAGTTAACGTGTGTGTGTGTGTGTGTTTTATTCTCTCTGTTTATTCTGTTAGAAAACAAACGTTTATAGAAGCACGCGAAAACAAAGACAAGAAAATAGAGGAAAACGAAAAGACAAAAGAAAAGAGAATAGATAGAATCGAGGNTCGCCAGGGTCGCCAAATGTTAGCGTTCTCGCTCACGAAGAGCGACGAACACAGTTAACGTGTGTGTGTGTGTTTTATTCTCTCTGTTTATTCTGTTAGAAAACAAACGTTTATATAAGCACGCGAAAACAAAGACAAGAAAATAGAGGAAAACGAAAAGACAAAAGAAAAGAGAATAGATAGAATCGAGGTATACGTTACAGTAGAACACACTGTAACAGAGATAGAAAAATACAGGATAGTGATGGATGTTAGGGGACGACAGGTGGCATATCCTAACATAAGTGTTTTAATTTTGCAAAGGCACGTCACTAATGCATGATTTGACCCTTATAAAAAAAAATTTGGAATCGATTGACGAGAACTAAAATTATTAGTCGAATATAGCTAAAATCTCAATCGTACTAGGAAGTTGCAATTCACTCATAAGGATTTTATTTTACTGTAAATTAATTCTTGATATCGATTTTGATTCAATACACGTTCAATTGCTTTTAAAATTTGAACTTGATAGCGTTTAAGAAGGGTCTTAGAGAAAAATTAAAATCGACAAAATAACTATATAGAATTATGTAATTATACTTCTGGTTTAAGACGATCGGTTTTAATAATTTTTTTTTCTAGTGTACTTTTATTTGATCCATAATTCATTCTTTGTTTTCGTTTATTTTTATCTTTTTGCTAAAAGAAAAATGTCCTAATTGATAGAATAAAACTATTTTATCTACTTGTTTTTCATAATCAATTGTATATTCTTGATAAATAATTCGTTGATTTGCTAGACCAACAAATTTTTTATTTATTATTGGATCAGTTTGAGTGGTAACATCCTATATAAGTATTTATATTATTTCATATATTAGAAAATAGTCAACTTTTTTTGATGTTGAATATGTTTGTATGCCTTGTTCACAAAAATTAAAACGATTAAGTATTTTCTTAGGTTTTTCAATTAATGATGAAGTTGGAGCTTGTAAAATTGATGTCTAAAATTTAAATCACCCTTGCGCTTGTTTTATTCATTAAAAATTTACTAATTCATCAGTCGGTTCATTGAGTTCACTTTGTTCGGTTATTTCATTTGTAATAGTTTGTTGTTCATCTTCATCACCTGTCGGTTGTACAGCTTTATAACAAAAATAATTACAACATATGTACTTTTATTTTCAATAAAATAAAGAACATTGACAGTACATAAGATCACAAGTCGGCTCATTAAGAATTTCCACATAAAGACTACTTGTTCTTGGGCAAAGCTCTGTGTCGAGTCGTTATGCGTCATTATACGATATCCATGAAAATCGTAGTAAAACGAATTTTACTCATTAGATGAAATGGACCCATTAAAGTATACTAATTTATATTATTCGAGTTAGACATATTGTGTTATACAGTGGCTAATATGAGTTGTGAAATGATTGTCATCGATAGTGCAGTCAAACTTTCTTATTTTCAATTAAAACACTTTCGTTTATATATCAACCGGATGTCCTTTTGAAACTCTACAAAATGAAACTATTGTGTGGAAATAAATTTTTGGACAAAAGTATTTAATATATGTTCACAATATTTGCGGGCAACAAAAACGGTTCGCATTAATTCCAGCCTGATTCGTTTTTATTAGACTGACTTGATTGTTAATCAGGCACAACGTTTTACCCATAATTGACTAATTTTTATGTGGAAATTCTTAATGGGTCGATTTGTGATCTTATGCATCGCCTTCGTCCCTTTTTTTTTACATTCGAAATTTTCATTCGATTTTTTTATTTCTACGGTTGATTTTTCTTTCGTTTTATAGACATCAAGTAATGCTGTTGGAAGAATTCGTGTTTTATCTACATAGAATTTTTTATTCATATTATTTTTTTTAATTTCTTATACGAACGAAATTTTTCTTTTTGTAAATAAGTTTTAGCTTCATCAGAATCAATTGGTATAAGATTTCCTTCATATGAATAATGTATTATAAGATGTTCCATATTTCCTAATGGTACAAATTGTTTATCCTATTTTAAAATTAACTTTATTTAAAATAAATATTTCGATTATATTCAATAAACACCTACACGATTACTAAACAAGACTAAATTTTTTGGTCCATATGGATTTTCTGTTGTTAAAATTTGTGTTAATTCTTCATCAGAATCAACTGAATCTTGAGATACTGAAAATCTTGTACGCTAGAAATGCTTAATTTTCTCTTTATATTATAGTTAAACAATATGAAAACAAACACTCTTATCATTATGATCATGTTCATCATAATATTTTGTTGTTGAGGTATCATCCAAACGGATCTAGATAATAATCTTTTATAATTAACAATTAACTGAATAGAACTTACAATATCCTATATGAAACAATACAAGTCTTTATTTTTTAACTGATAAACGTTTTATATTAGAAGACTTACATCATTTTTTTGATGTGCAGAATTCATATTTAATCGGAAATGTAGATAAAAGAAAGTGCAGATCATTATATTTTTTAATAAGAGGAAAAAAAAAGATAGAGAGAGAAATTCTTTTTATAAAAAAAAAATTCAGATCAATAAAAGACTAATTTATTTAATTGGCGGTTGTAGTTGGCACTGTATTTGTTTGTGACGCTGGTAGTGATTTATTTTTTGCTTCATCAGGATCTCGAATTAATGCAAGAATTTTATCTAATTTAGCATTTTCAGCTTCGGGTCCTTCGGGTATTTCTTGACCTTTTTTAGCTTTTGGTTTCTTACGTAAATTTGGTGAAAGTTTTAATGATGTTATATTTCCACGATCATCACCAACAAGTATTATTGGAAAATGTTGATTGAATATAATATGTGTTAATTTTGTACGTTTCTTTTGTACTACTATTTGTTCAGCAAGTGGTTCATATTTATTAACATTTAAATCAAATACATAAACTTTTCCATCAGCTGTACATGCAGCAAATACTGTTGATGAATAAGGTGCCCATGAGACATCACCAACTGCACTGCCAAGATCATAGACAAATAATGGATCTCTAATCATAAGAACAAAAAAAAATTCAACATTGAATATTAAATAAAGATTATGAGAAAATTGTTTACTTAAAATTAATATCCCAAACTTTAACAGTCCAATCAGCTGAACAGCTAATAAAGATTTTTGGATGAAATGTATTCCAACGTACAGAATAAACAGCCATATGATGTGCATCGAATGTATCCAAAAATTGATTATTATATGATTTTGAACATTTATGAATTTTTCCTTCTTCTGTACCAGCAATAAATAAATAATCTTGTTGTTTATTAAAATCAAAACATGTCCCACATCCTTTCATTTTTAAAAGAAAAATGATTAGAAAAAAAGCATTGATGTTTTTATTTTTGTTAGTAAAAAAATATTTTTACCAAGTGCTGCTAATGGAATTCCTTCATCGGGTTCAGTTGCTGGTTTTTCCAATTTTAATTGAACAACATCGGTATACATTAAATCACTCTAATTACGAAAACAAAAAAATAATTTTTACAATAGAATAACTTCTTTTTCTAAATGAAATTTACTTTAACTAAAGTCCAACAAACAATACGACCATCCGACGATATTGAATAGAAATTAAGATTTCCATCCAAATCATCTTTCTGCCAGCGTACTTGCCAAACAGGATCTGTATGTTTACCATTGCGTGCTGTACTTTGATATTTTGGTCGTTTATATTCATCAGCTATATTATAAACAGCAACTGAACCATCATAAAATCCTACATATTAAAGTTATGTGATAAATAATCTCTAAAAACCTAATATCTAAATTTACCACAAGACAGTAAATTCGGATGATTTGGATGAAAATCCAAACACATAACACCAGTATCAGTTAAAAAAATATTCTCTGGAAAACTTGGATTTTTTAATGAATAAATTAAAAACAGTCCACGACTTTGCTTAAGAAAATCATCTATAATAATAAAAAAAAGCAATTATAAATTATATTCAAATTTTATCTTAAATAAAAGAAAAACCATACAGGAACCAAATGAAACAGCAAATAAATCTGTAAAATGCGTATTCCAAGCCAAATTTGTACAAGCAAGTTTTTTTGTTAAATCATTTTGAAAAACCCATAATGGCAAAAGACTACCTTCTTGTTCACGATATTCATCAGCTGCATCTTCCCAATATTTAAAATCTATAGAGCAAAAATAATTGTTTTTTTTGTTAGATTTTTTATTAATATAATTAACCTTGTGCGATATCATCAAATGTGTTTTGATTAATCATTCGTTCAAGTATTTTAAGTGATATACTAGCTGATTTTGATCGAGCTAATTTAGCCATATCATCACCCTATTTTATAAGAAATAGGATTTCTTTATTTTTATAAGATAGTTTTTTTTTGTCTTACTGTTTGTTCAGCAACAACAAATTTCTTTTTACGTTCATCATCTTTTTTTACTAAAACTTTTTTGTGTTCTTTTTCTTTTGCTTTTTGCTAAAATACAATTTTTTTATTTTCAATTTTCAATTTTTTAATGTCTTATTTTACTTGTTGATCGAAATCTTCATTATAAGCATCAAAAATTGACCATTGTGAAACATTATCAGTAATAATAACACGTGGTGTTTGTTCGACAAATGTTTCACGATCCTAAGAAGATAGAATAATTAATTGTAACATTCTTTTTTTTTTTTTTTTTTTTTCTTTAATTAAATACTCGGCATGGATTATTATATGTTTGAGATGCTCGTTCACTAAAATTAAATTGATTTGTAAGTTTTTTTCCTTTACTACCAGCTCCAGTAGATTTTTTGGGTTTTTCTTCATCTTCATCTTCACCTTCCTTTGTTGTTTCCTTAAGAGAACTAAATTAAGAAATGTTTTTTTAAATTAAATTAAAAATACTCGTTCAGTAACAACGGGTGTTGTTGTTTCAACTTCGTCAAATGTATGGTCTACTAAAAAAGCAAAAAATAAAATATCATTATTGGTAATATATTTATTTGTTTTTAATTAACCTCCATTATCTCGAACTAATTGTCGTTTTCCTTCTTCAGAATCTTTATGAATAAGATTACCATCAAGTTGAAAATGAACAGCTAATTGATCAACTTGTGGAATAGGTTTAAATGTTCGTTCCTATATTAGTCAATTGAATACTATCATTTACTATCAAAAGTGTATAATATACTTTATAACTAAATCGAACAATATTTTCCGCTGCTTGTGGGTTACGTGCCGTAAGAATTCGTGTATGTTCTTCATTTAATTCCTAATAAAAACATAATTAAAAAAAAAATATATATATATATATATATCAGTTAAAAAACAAAACAACATACGGCATCGGTCAGTCTTAATTGATCATCTGGACGAACAGGTCGAAGTGACTAATTAAAATTAATTAACATAGAATAAAATCAATGAAAATAAATACTTACTTCATCTGACAGATCAGGCATATTACCATAGTCTTGCTCATCATCCTATAAAATTTTATTTCAAGTAAGTTTTCCTAATTTATAACTATTTTTTTCGTACCCGAAAGCCTGCTATTATTGACTGACGAGGCATTTGACTAAGACGTCGTTGGATGGGAGCTCCAACGGCAGCCGGTTGACTCTAAAATGAAACGAATTAAACATGAAGCAAAATATTCTAGTAGATAGCTACCGTTTTTTTCTCGGCACCTTTTGTTGGCATGGTTGTTAGAAAGTAACTAAAATGAATGAAAAACTATTCAATATATGCCATTAACATCATTGTTGCTCTAAGCATAGCATAGCAACGGATCAATTAACTACACTATATAGATGTCAGTTAAATTGTAATGTTTAGTATTCAATTGACATGAAACATTATTGATGTTAGAACGAAAAAGCTCGAAGATATTGTTTACTTTTTTAACAATAAGGTTTCACCATTTTTTTTTTGTTGTATAATAATTATGACTTTCAAAGGTTTGAGTATGTTATTTTTTGTCGCTTCATCTATTTGACAAAATAATTGAAAGACTTACATTGAATTGATTAACAATACAGATTGAAATTATTCGAGCAGACTTTATCGAATTCATTGCTTTACTGTTTTTTTTGAAATGTTATTCTTACACTTCACTTTGTTAAGGGTTTATTATACGAATGTGAATAAACAATTTAAAGATGTTTTAAGTGTTTTAAATTCATTTTCATTTGTCGCATTACAATCAACGAAAAATATTTCTTTGAATCTTTTATTTAGAATAATTATATCGATTACTAGATACAAATAAATGAGAATCAAGATCGTACGGTAATACTATCTGTTATTATCAATAGATAAATTATGTATTAATTTTAGGTGAGACAAAATCATAAATCCTTTCATTTTTCTTTCAAAAGATCCACCGTCGAATTCTCTACAAAAGCTATATCACAAGCAGCGGAAAATATTGTTCGATTTAGTTATAAAGTATATTATACACTTTTGATAGTAAATGATAGTATTCAATTGACTAANTTAACATCTGAGAAGTAAAATAATCAAGAAGGAAAATGCAAGATTTCAGTACTCCTAAGTCTTCATGTTTTCCACTTGGCAATAATATGTTAGTATAAACATGAATAAGTTTTTTTTTCTGATACACAATTTTTTATTTAGGACTTAATGTTGTTACTGAATTTGTTGCTGGTATTATCATTCCCGGTGATCCATTAGCTAATGTAACATTTAAAGTCTATGGATATATTACTCAATATCAAGCTCTACTTCTAATTTCTGATTTAAAACTAGGTCATTATATGAAGGTATGATATTGATATATATATATATATAATTAACAATAAACTTCTAAATGATCATATTTAGATTCCACCACGTGCTATGTTTGTTACTCAATTAGTAGGTACAATTGTAGCAGGCATTGTTAATTATTTAACAGCGAACTATTTGATGAATAATATTCCAAATATTTGTACACCAAAAAATACCCGATGGACATGCCCTAATGCTAATGTATTTTTTAGTGCATCTATTATTTGGGGAGCTATCGGTAAATAATTTTTTTTATCTATATTGTTATATTAGTTTGAGAAAAAAACAGAGCATCGAACCTTTTTGTTTGCGAAACTTCAAAGTCTTTAATTCCATTGAAATCTGTATCAGTAGAATATTGTTTTTTTTTAATAATATTTATAACTTAGGTCCAATAAAAATGTTTGGCAAAGGATCTATCTATTCACCACTTCTCTATGGTTTTCTCATTGGCGCTCTTATTCCTATACCATTCTGGCTTCTGATGAAAAAATTTCCTAATGTTAAATGGTTGAAATACATTCACTTTCCGATCATGCTATCAGCGACAGGAATGATACCACCGGCTCCAGCAGGTAGTTATCCGTCATGGCTTTTAGCTGGGTTTATTTTCAACTATATACTTATTCGACATGCACGATCATGGTGGAGACGATATGCGTATGTTTTTTCGGCAGCGATGGATTGTGGTGTAGCTTTTGGTGTATTGATCATATTTTTCATGCTGCAAAATAATGGATTGGAATTTCCAACATGGTGGGGAAGCGGTGGGCAAACTGGAGATGGTTGCCCATTGTCACATGCTAATTACTCGGGAATTATTCCTAGAGATCATACAATATTTGTCGGTTGAGAAGATTATTATGTTTTGTCTCAAATCATTCTATTTTTTGTTGTTGTTCGAAAAATAATAATTGGCGTCTATATTTATTTTATAGGATAAATAAAAGCAAAGAACTTTGCATAGAATAGATTTCTTCTTTTTTTTCTTTTTGGAGAACTATTTCTTCATCGGCATCAATAGGACACTTAACTTTGAAGCTAGATTTCTTTTGACAATTATTCTTCAATCTTTCAATATCTGAAGTTTGAAATATCACTTCAAATATACGGGCAAAATCATCCGTTAGTAATGTAAATTTCACGAAATTATAACAAATGTATCTCAGAACAATGAAGTTTCTTAGAACCAATTTTTCTATGTTACGTGTATGTTAATATACCCAAGATATTCTGATAAAAAAAGTAGCACTACAGACAATTGCTCAGAAAAGTTATCAGCAAAAACTTAGTGTTAAAAAGGACATCAACTTTCAATTCATGCATTTTAGTTTAGAAAAACTCAGAATTTAAGTAGCATTTTTGAAAACTAAAAAGTATATTCTGTAGACAACTCCTAAGGCTACAAAATCTCTATCCAAAATTCTTTTTTCTAAATGTGCCTAGATTTTTCAAAAGGATCAATTTACGTTTTATTAGCGACTTAATGTAGTACGAAAAAACGTCTTTATAATCGAATGAGAAGTTCAAAATCAATTTCAAACGGTACAAATCCTTCTTCACAATCTCCAAATGATGATAGAATCAATATTTTTGTTTTGGGACTTGACAGGATCTCTAGAATATCGACTTATCGGAGAACGTTTTTCTTGGCGTCCAATTTTGCTGAAAATTTTACCATACATGTGTTTTGTATCACAGAGTCTGTCCTGAAGTTTTCTTTCTTTTTTCTCATATGGTTAGAGAAATATTCACTAAAGCCCCCGATGTATTAGAAGATCCCCCCCCCCTCAGAAAGTTGATTTTTTTTAAACAATACGTGGAGTCTAGTGACTTCTTCAGTATTAAAGTCCATAATGATATCTAAGTTCGGTATGAGCACTATTTTACTTTCGTCTTGATAACAATGTGNTAAAATTTCATTTTGTACTAATTAAAAAGCTTCTTCATCTGTAACTTTCTTCTAGAGATTCAGAAACATCTTTATTCCAAAGCAGAGTTCCATAATTGAAGAAAACCTTACTTTATGTATACACGTCAGAGTTTGTTTTGTGATTACTTGTGAGTCTGAGAACGTATATCTTTTTTCAATACGATCTAAAGATATTTTTCGAAATAGACACAAAAGAAAACGCAGAATGTGTATTCAACTGCTGTTGTTCTACAAGTTGTGTTTTCACAAGACAATCGTATTCATTGAAGTTAGCTTGTGATCAACAACTATGTTAGTGGTAGACGTCACTAGGTACGAATTCCATCGGTACTAATCAAACCTCAACATAAACAACTGCCTGAAGTAAATTCGGCAAAAACAAATTATTTTCCTTTTTTTCAGTTATTTAGAAGGTTAAATATTTACAGTAACAATAGAATTCTTTCGAAAAAAGAATTCTATTGGACATTGTACCAAGATGCGAGGGAGTGTTGCCTGTATTGTTCTAAGAAGACTTACTAACGATAAACTCGTCCTTTCCCACAGGATAATATGTTTCTTTCTCATTATACGCATGAGGAATAAATAAAAAAAATTTGTTTACTAACGATGCATCGGGCAAAATTGGCTGAAATTAAAGTTTGTTGGCGGCACTACCAAAAGTAGCTTTTTTTAAGGGACATATTAGAAGACCCTCCTTGTAACTTATGAACGACAAGACAAAATAGAAGACCCTGGGTCTTCTAATGTGTCGGGAGCTTTAATTACATTTTTAATTAATAATCAACTGAAAGAGAAAACAGTTTAAAATGTATTTATACTACGTAGGTGTGAGCAAGATGCTGCGGGAACTGGAACCAGCATTACCACTTTTTCCATTGCGATTGATATTTTTTATGATGATATCAGACTTGAGTCAAATATCATATTCTTGCGAATTGTATGTTTCAAAAATTGATGCGAAAATTATTGATTAACAGTCATTTCAATATTTGCTTGTACGATTTTGATAGTAAAATTAATCCTTTTTTTCCCGTAAACAACAGAGTTGCCGAGCACATACGCGTGCAGCATAGACGAAGTTTTAGTGAATTAAAAGAAGTAATGAATCTTCAACAGGGAAGATATTAGAAGTCACGAAAGTAGTGAAAAATGTCTCGAGTTCATTGAGAATACTAGAAAATGGCATTGCGTTTTTCGCTAAATTTATGTATTATTAAGTGTGGCATTACAATCAAAAACTTTTCCCGACCAGAATAAAAAATGATTGATCTCGCTCATCACTAGTCTATGTTATAAGAACTTATTCAGAAAAATAATCCTCATAAAGAATCAAAGTTGGATATGTCTCGTTGTATCTGAAACGACTCATATTTCCTTATAAAATTCTATTAAGATAAAAAAAATACGTTCAACAATCATCACACATGGAATTTTATTTCTATTGTTGCTTGTTACTGCTTTATTTCAAACAAAAGAAAAACAACTGTTGTTCTAATCCATTGGAAGAAGATCATTCGATGCAAAATCTCGAATCATGTAAACTGCAATAGCAAAAAATCCAACACTTTTGACGAAATCCCTATAACATAAAAAAAAATAATTTTAGAACTCTTTTTTTATTTTCTTTCTTTGTATAAAATTTTACCATTTTACTGGATCATAGTAAAATGTTTTCATATAATCCCATTTTGTTGCTGGTCCAGTAGAACGAGCTGCACCTGGTCGACGACCTCCCATACCCGAAGGTAAACCTGCTTCAGATGGAAAAAACATTTTTATCTAAAACGAAAAGCAAGACAAAGTTTTCTAACATTTCTTTACTTGCTAATAACAAAAAAAAACAGTAAACAACAAATTACTGTTAATTTTCTCTTTTTTTTTGTAAGAAATAACAATATCAAAGTGAAAGATTTAGTCAATATTCGATTTAGAATATTGTTTTTGTTGACGACGATGATTAAATACTCGGTGTTTATCTTTCCGTTGTATAGCTTTCCGATGTTTTGTTCGAAGAGCCTAAGTGACATGTTTATTTACAACAAAATAAAAACAAAAAAAAAGAATTTTTGTTTTTTACTTCGCCTATTTCTTTTCGTTTTGTTGGCCATGTTCGTTCAAGTTCATTTAAATCTTCAGTACGTACGAAACTTTCTAAGCCATCTAAAATTTACAAAAAATAAAAATTTTAAATATAATTCTACAAGAAAAAAATTTATTTTACCTTGTAATCGATTATCAATATCAAAGAAAAAGAATGTTTCATTTGTTGCTTGATTTTTTGTTTCAGTACTATTTAAAGAAAAAAAATCAATAGAGTTTTATTTCGAATTTAATATTTACTCTTCTGATAAAGATTGTTTTTTATTATCATCTTCATCACTTGACGTATCATCGATTTTATTTAAAAACATTTTCGATTTTCCATTTGATATCGGTTTCGGTAATGAAAATATTTCTATATAAATAAAAAGCATCCATATAGATACATAAATTTGAATATTAAGATTAATCAAACGAACTTGGAGTAGGTAAAGTAACGGATTCATTATTATTAAAAAATTGAAATTGAAATCCTCCTTTTTCGTTAGAAGCATTTGTTACATTTGATGTTTTATTAAACATTGATTTTAATTTAGATTCATCAAATTCATAGGTTCGTGTTGAATTACTTAATATAAAAAGATAAACAAACAAATTACTACTATACAAAATACAAAAAAATTCAATAACTTGGAGTTTTTCATTTCAACTCAAAGTAGATAGCCTGTATATAGAGTCTGTCGAGTCCGAAAATGTTGGACTCGACGGACTCAACCTCTACGTAAATATTAAACTTACATAATTGGTATTGTTTCTGTGGTTTGTTTTAATATTGATTTTGGTTTAATATCTTCTGAAATATTAAGATTTTCTCCAAAAGTTCCAATTTCTGAATTAAGTTCATAAATTCTATGTTCAGTTTTACTGGGATCAAAACGAATCATTTTTGTTTTAGGTTTTGATATAGAAGATTTAAAATTTGATGTAGACGATTTAGCATTTGTTATTTGATCAAGTATTGCAAGAGATTTCTTTTTTTCTTCTTCAATTGAAATATCATTATTATTATTATCATTATCATTATCATTATCGTCATCATCATCATCATCATCAACTGTTTTCTGATGATCATCAAGAAATTGCTCCGATAATTGAAATCGTGGATCATTTGTTGTTGTTAAACGTGCTTGAAGATCTTGTAATGTTTTTCTTTTTTTTGTAATCGGTTTTTGATTAAAATGTTCATCAACATTTAATATTTCATTATCATCAAATAGTTGAATTTTTTTTTCGACGAATTCTTTCGGTTGATCATCTTCATTATCAGAATCAAATTTTAAATGTTTCGTTTTATTTTCATTATTTAATGACTCTTTTATTAAACGTTTTTTATTTTGTTTTTCACGTTCATATTCATCAAGTGATTGTAAACGTTGCTCATTAGATTTAATCGTACGTAATGACTAATTAAATCCAAAAGAAAAACGATAAGTAAATCTTTTTTCTACTCATTAATGCATACCTTCAACTAACTACGTACTTCTATATTAGAATGATGATTTGTCATTATTGTTTCAAATCTAGAATATATAAAGTATCTCATTGTGAAATATTTACAAACGAAAATGAAGAATGTATTATATCATTCGATGAGAAATAATAATAAATTGCAAAAAAAGAAAAGAAAAGAAAAGAAAAATACAATACACTGATTGCATTTCGAAATACAAACCATAAACAAACACACAAACGCACATATACAAAGAGCCAAGCTCTGAACTTTTCTTCTTTCATTTTTAATGATGATCAATGAATAAAAAAGAAAACAAACAAATGAAATACCATAATATTTTAGATATAACAAATAGAAAAGAAAAAGCAATCAGTTTGATATAGGAGATGTTTCGGATAGTGATGATGGTGATATTGGCTTTATTTCACCTGGTGATAAATTTGATTTTGATGGTGAAAGTGATTTTTGATTATTTAAATTCATTGATGACGAAATATTAATATCATTATCATTTTTTGATGTTACACTTTTATTTGTTGTTTCCATGTGTATAGTTTTATCATCATTTGTAGTATTTAAACGATGAGTATGTTCATCATTTGTTTTTGTTAGAGATTTTTTTTCTTGATTGCCTTCATCATTATAGTCATCTTCATTGTTATCATCATTAGCTAATGATTTTGATAAACTTTTTCCAATGATTTCATCGATTTTATAAAGTTTTCGAAGTTTTTTTTCAACATGTAACTGTATTAAATCAGCTTGTTCCAATGAACAAAATCCATCATTAACACATCTAAAAACATTAATCATTAAAGAAGATCTTTACACTAGAATAATTCGAATCTATAGATCTTGTCGATAAAGTTACAAGATTTTTACTATAAGGTTGAGTTGTATAAGAAAAATTAGACAAAGAAGTATTGATTTGAGATTTTGCCTATAAGCTTCGCTAAATATTTCGGCGGAGTGTTAATCTTTGAAAACTATTATCCATTTCAAAATATAATTCACTCCATTGTTTTTTGAATAACTTCCATAGAAACATCAATGAGACTTGTGATTTTCATCATTCAAAAGAAAAGACCCGAGGTCATCAAAGTATGTCGAAATTGATCAATCAGATGAGTTTTGGGTTGAGATTTTCGAAAATGATATTTTAAAGGTATTTCTCTTTCGGTCTATGCGTGACCGACATGCATAGTTTGTTTCGTTCGAGAATTATAATACGTTTTCTGAGACTCCTAATTTCAGTCCATTTACTTGCGATCAGCCCTGCCTAGCTGTTGTACCGGATGATCACAGGTCAATTGGTTGAAATCAGGAATCTTAGAAAAAAATCTCATAACTCTCGAACGAAATGAGCTAAGAATGTCGATCTTATGTAGATCGAAAGAGAAATATCTCTTGAATATCATTTTTGAAAATCTTCACCAAGAATTCACTTGACTATTCAATTGCTGACCAAATTAATTTCGATATACTTCGACGATTCCAAGTATTCTCTCTTGAATGATGAAAACCGCAGATTTTTATGTTGTTCCCATCAAAAATTATTCAACAAACAATCGATCACATTATATTCTGAGATGGATAGTACTTAGGTCACCTCCACTCGACTCAAAAACCTATTTAACGCTAGGCACATTCAAATCGCCCAAAATTTTCAACTGTATACTGTAACTTTGGAGAGAGATATTCATCAGACACGAGCCAAAAATAGCTCATTTGACAGCATAAAAATTCTCTGTTGATCTTCCTTCTATATATTTAATTAAATTTTGTTTGAAAGAGCATGTCAAGATCTAGGACATGACAAAATCCTGCTTTAAAAAGCCTACTTTTTATATTAAAAAAAAAGAGTGACAAATGGAAGATCTCACAAAAAAAAACTCTGTACAAATGAAGGTCTATTTATACAACTGTTTACATATATAATCAAAAACAAAGCTTAATTATAACAAGACACTCTGACATGCCCTAGATTTTGACATACTGCTTCACACAGAAGAAAAAGTAAATGACTATAATGAAGCTCTTTGAAGAATTCTAGAACGTACGATCAGAAAAGCATATTTTTCAAGCAGAACGTGATAAAAATCATTATAATTTTTTGACAAAAAAATGAAATGCTAATTTAAAAATCATGTTCTCTCTCAAAGAGCAAAACTGAAACTAGTTTTTCATGCATTTATCTTAAAATAGTGAATTACTTCGCGTGATTTACTTGCTAAAATTCTAAATAGAAAGTTATCATCTCAATTTTACTTGAATAGAACAAAGCGTAACATCGCATTCTTCATGTGATTAAAACAGGACAAAACCATCGATAGACTGTACAGTACAATGTGCGCTATACCAGAGATATACCAATAGTTGTTCTCTGACTAGAAATCGACTGTCAGTAGTGCGAATAAACGTGCGTCATGAGTCATTTTGATTCTTGTTTCTATTATTGACAACATCGATATTAATGCTTCTCTCAGAAGGCATTTCTAAATATTTCCGATCCAAATAGTAAAGAAACTCGTTTAATTTAAGTTTCTATCAAGTATTTTAGTACAAGTTTAATTAAATAAAATACGTCCGAACAACATAATTGTTAATTTACCTTGAAACAGTAATAAGAATAGGATGTTTTTCAATTGATTCTAAAACTTTAGCCATTGACTCAAGTAAATAAAGTATCATTCCTTCAGATGAAACATGTAATGGTGGTCTTGTATCAGATAGATGTATGCCATAATTATGTATTGATTTCCAATCAAGTTTTTTATAACGAATAATAGCAATTAATGCAGCTAAATAAGTATTACTAAAATGAAAAAATTGAAAAAAAAAAATCATGAGTTGAATTTTGTATTTACTCAATAGATATGGGTTGATCTTGTTTTGGATCATTTAAATATTCATTCATAATTGTACGTATTTGTTCTAATGTATTTAAACGTGCTGTCATATATGGTAAAATTTCTGTATCAGAATGTTCTTGTGCGATACGTGTATAAACATACCGAAGAATTTCATATTCATTTTCATCAAATTGTTTACGTATTGAATCATCTGTTGAAAAAAATGATAGATCAATATCAATTAAAAATTGTTTAGTTGCAAGTAATTCATTTATTAATTTTGCATCAAGTGCATAGATACGTTTAGCTGATGATGGTGAATTTTTATGATTTGTGTCATTCATGGATAATTTAGCTTTTTTTCGATTATCATTATCTAAAAGTTCAGTCTCATTTTCATTATCATATATTGGTGTAGTAGTTTTTTCAGTTGTTGTTGAATAATTTTTTGCTAGTCCACTTGTTGATATGTATATATCAACTGTATGAATATTGGAAAGTTTATCAATTGGTGAATAAACACAATTCGAAGTGAAATATGGAAGTGGTGAAGCAACTCTGGAAATGAAGAAAAAAATGTCAAGGTACTTTTTTTGATTCAGAAAGATTAACATGAGTTTTTTTTAAATTTTTAGTTGCAGTCCTTATTCCAAGCTAGTTTTATCCATATCTGAAAGTAGGATAAAAGCATTGTACAATCGATATAATTAGAATATTCATACTCTATTCTTTTCTGAACAAACTTTATGTGATTTCTCTGAGAAAAAAAAGAAAGATAAGATCTATAAATAGCATTTTTTTTCTTTGATAAATGCTTTGCAAAAATCTTCAACAGTCAATTTCTAATATTTAATTTGAATTTAACATTTGATCTTTTCATTTTTAAATAATTGTTCTATAAAAATTCATATGTTATTCATTTCTATTGAGTATACCTACTTTAATAGACCAGTTTGTTGACATTTTCCTATTTGTAATTGATAGACACCATCAAGAAACTGATGAGCCCATGGTGGTTTAAACCAAAAAATTTTTGTTATGTATCCCTTATAAACAGCTGGAAGTATCCAACATTGATTATTGATTGAACTAAAAACAAAATATTTACAATGAATGATCCAAAAGAAAATGTAAGATAAAGTTTTTCAATACTCAACAAGATGATTTAAGGTTTGAATTTCATCTGCTTGGACATTTCTTGGTACAAGAAAATCAGCATATGTATCAAAACGAACTAAGGCAACATCTTCTCCTACTTTTAAATTTTCTCCAATATCACGTATTAATATTGGAAAAACCTTACAAATAAAAAAAACAAATATATAAATTCTTATCAAAAACAATTAAAATATACCTTACTTCATTATTATTTTCAAGAATTTTTATTTTTAATTTATCTTTTATGATCACCATTACATGTCCTTCTTGAAAAATCTCATCTAAAAGTATGCTTTAAACTTTTTCGTTTATTATTTTACATAAAAACTAAGCTGTTCATATACACACATATATATATATATATATTTACAAATAATGAATAAAAAACAAAAAGTTTTGTTCATAGAGTTCTTTTTTTTTTTCATTTAAAATCCATCACTTTCATTAATTAAGGCACGTTCAAGAATAACTCGTCCTTCTTTATAACGTTGCGTTTCTTCTGTTGCAAATTCATACATCCAGCCAAGTTTAACATCACATTTTTTGCAACTTATATCTCGAACAAAATGTCGGCCAGTTAGCATCATCTAGGAAAAATTCAAATTAATATCTTTATTAATCCTTTTTCTTTCTAGACCATGAAACATTATTTTACTCGTTCTTGTACAGGACTTTGTTTTGTATTAACAACACGACTAAATAAGAATGCGCGACCTGTTGCACCTGTGAATCGTGTGGAAACTAATTCATTACGATTTGTTAATGGTGTATCACAATGTGCACAAGAAAATATACGTTGACCACCTAGATGTTCAAGAAAAACACGACCCATGTATAGAAATTTATATCGAAAAAATTTTAAGACTCGATTTTTCGGAGAACAGCGATTTCCGTATAATTGGCGTATTCGTACTCGATGGAAAAACAAAACAAAACATGCGAGAAAAATAAAAATAAATAAACAATTAGCCAACAAGGAGTTCTAAAGTAACTAATCATATGTTTACTTTGTCTAGATGTCACTATATGACAATAAAAGAATTTTTTATTCTAAAATTAAGTTCAATCACTAATCAATACATTGACCATTGTTTTTTCCAGCTTCTTTTTTTCCTCGATTAAACGATTTCTACTTGACCTTCAAGACAAATAGAATTCCATCATATGTACATCTTTCAGGAGAAATGAAAATTATGGAGTGTGGATGCGGAAGAAGAGAAGATCCACAGTCAGACTTAGATTATCGTGGATATATGTTCTCTATCTTTATTCAATTATATTTATCTTGTTAAAAAAAATTAGCTGTATCTGTACATATGTAATATTTTTCCTTTTGTTGTTATTATTTCCTGATGATGGAGAGAGTGCTTACTAGAAGCTAAAGATAAATAAAATCTTGAAATTTTGATAGAAACTCAAATGTTTTTTTTTGTGGCAGTATTTATATTGGGCGAGTTATTCAGAAAAAAAAAGAAAAGATTCAGGCAACAATTTAAGAACACAAAAATTCTACCTAAAGAAGCAATTCTAGTCTCAATAGTCAAGTTTCGATCTTAAGGGGTCTTGCCAGAAAGTTATAATCTGTTTATTAAGGCAAGAATTTTAACTGTAGTGAATATAAAAAGAATCATGATGAATCAGTAAAGAAAAAACGATGATTACCACGTTGACTCGTACAGGGTATATTCTTGCCGCTATTCTTTTCGGATTTTTTATTCTTAACATGTCATCTAGAGAGTCTAGAACAGTTGCTCATCAGGACACTTACTTATTAGGGTGTGCGTGTAGGGTATCAGTGTGGATAAAGAAAAGACCTACAAAAGTACTCACGCTTTTAATAGCTGCTTCCTTCATTCCTACCGACACCCACATCCACGACAATCACTCTTCTGACATCAACACCCGAGAGCAAAGGTTCTGTCGGGTAACTGTTCGGCTCCCGCTTGCTATTCCTGTGAAAATTTAAACGATAAAATAGCAGTGAAAACGAAGCTATAGAAGATTTATACTAATCATGAAAATCAAGAACAAAAGTTTTGCTAGATTATTCAAGCAATAGTCCTATTGTGTGATGCAAAAAGAATCAGACTTTAGTTTCAAGAAGTGCAAGATTAAGTCTACTGAATTTATTTCTGATTCAGAAGATCTTGTAGATTAGACAAAAGTCTTACAGTAAACAATAGTTTATTGTCTTTATATATACGTATATATGAAGAATATATTTCGAATCTTCCATCTTGAATGTGAGTGAATTTAGTTTTTATAAATTCATAAGCATTGATGTTATTTTTCAAATTATGACAGGCAATAACATAAGAAACTGTTCAAAAGCTTTATAAACGTTGTATTTTTATTGGCAATGTGAATAAAATTTACATAAAAAATACTGTGTGATATTTGTACTTTTACAGTATCAGTTATTGTATAGGAGCACAAAGTTCGAAGTATGATATCAATTCCATCAGCTGATTAATTTTCTCACATTTATATCACTCATATATGAAAACCATTGCAATCCAATAATCTACTGCTTCATTTGATTTCAATATGGTTACGATATCATTTATCATTCTTGCCATATTCTTCACGTTCGTGTCATCGAACAATGAACATAATATTGTTCGAATTACTGATTCCGGTTCTACCAATACTGCTGGTTATGTAATTGAATTACGACGTGATGGTCTCGTCAAATGGACTGTTGCACCTCGAATTCATCTAACTTTATCAACAACACCAAGTACTACCACTGCACAAAATAGCATTCAACTTTCGTTATTTGCTACAAACAGTATCTTTCAAGCTGTTGAAGAAGCTTTCCCATTCAATCAATATGCACCTATTTTTTGTATTAAAAGTGTATCATTTGGTACAACACTTCATGTTACTTACAATGGACAAGAAACACCAGACCTTAATTGTCCACAACACGATCAACGCTTAATTGTTTTGAGCAAATATATAGATGAATTAATTAAAGACCTTCATATTAATACATTTGGTTAAACGAAAAAGTGTTTTTTTTTTGCTTATTTGCAGTTCTGTTGAAATGATTTCAAAAATAAAATAAAAAATTAAATTAAATCTCATCTGTACAAGCAGACAAATAAAAGCCAATAGAAATAGCAAAAAGAATAAAGAAAAAAGAACTTAAAAATATATTTATTATTAATTATTATTCTTCATGAATAAACTGTTGAGCTTCAGTTATTGTTGTTTCAAGTGATGGACGTCGAAATTCTGCAATAGGTACCAATGAACTATTTCGACTTGATGTTCCATGTGGATGTAAACTACTCCATGGATATGCACGACGACTTTTAACTCGTTCACTTGCTCCATAACTAACATTTGATAATGGACGAATCGTTGCATGATCAGCTACACTCAATTGTGTACCTTCAAGTTTAAAACCACGTATTTCAATAGGCATTGACTGACTTGGTGTATGAGAATGTTGATGATGTTCATCCTAAAAATTATCAAATTATATTTTAAGGAACAAGAGCACGATAAAGATCAGTTTTGGCACGCATAAATTTTTCTTCAGAAATAAACATAAAAATTACTAGTTGTAGCGCTTGAATTGATGAATCTAATCTTGTGTAAATATTGTTGCGAAATCTTAAATTAGAAATATTTATGCCACTTACAATACAAACTTGACTATCATTAATAAGATTTTCTCGTGTTATGTGGTAAGAAGACAGATATCTCTTCTCAGATATGGAGTCACACGTCAATGAGCTCATTCATAGTGTGATCAACAGACCATGATTTGAACTAGATTTTGGTGGCAAAATATTACATAAATAATCTTTTGTTGAACCAAAAATAGATACGTAAGAAAGTTTGAGTTATCCAAAACGATGAATTTACAGGCACTAGTCAATATTGAGCACCTTATATCTCAATAACAAAATAGACATATCGCTTAAATTTCGATGCTAGTGGATTATATGACGAGCTACAAGAACATGCATAATTTGTTCACGAAAAGTATGACAACATATTCATATAGATAAAAGTGATCATTTTTAACTGATATTTGCTGATTTTTGTCAGATTCGTTACATTTCTAGTCAAAACAAATAATATATTTGCAATCAGAATCAACAGCGGAGTTGATTTATATACGATTCAATCTTTTGAACAAAATTTATTTTCGTCGAAAAATTTACTCCTGGTCACCCTTTAAGATTTAGTCAAAAAATGAAGTCAATCCTAACACTATGTTAATGCGTATTCGTCTGCTTTTCTGTGCTTTATTATCATTTTACCAGGTTGGAACTTGTTTTCACCCATCCTTATGAGATTTTGATTGACTTCATTTTTTTGGCTGAACCTTGAAGGAGGGACCAAGGGTAAATTTTTCGACGAAAAATAAAAGTTGTTCGAGTAATTTGAAATACATACAAATCAACTCAATTGTTGATGTTGACATTGAATATATTATTTGTTTCGACTAGAAATGTAACGAATCTTATAGAAATTGGAGTATATCAGTGAGAAAATAGTTATTTTTACCTACCCAAACATGTGACTATACTTGTCCTGAATAAATTATACATGTTCTTGTACCTCACCATGCACTCTACTAGCACTGAAATGTTGACGACATATTTATTCTTATTTTCTGAGGTATAAGACGCTCAAGATCGATTAGTGTTCGTAAATCTATCGATTTGAACTGCTCAGACATTTCTGTCTGCCTATTCTTAGTTGAACGGAAAATTATTTATTTAATATTTTAGGAATCAAAATGTAGTTCAAATCATGGTCTATTGATCACATTATAAGTGAGCTCATTGACTTGTGACTCCACATCTGAGAAGAGGCATCTTTTTTCTTAGCTCACAACACGAAGAAATCTTATGATGATGGTCAAATTTGTAAGGAGCATAACTACTTGTAATTTAAGATTTCGCGACAATATTGATATATGGTTAGATTCATCAGTTCAATCGCTACAAAATCTGCTCATTTTTATGTTTCTTTCTGAGAAAAAAAATATAAAGCTAGCCTAAATTGTTCCTAATACCGTCCCTGTTCTTTAAAATATAAGTCTTATACCATGTCTTTTGACAGACGAAATTCCGTTGTTCGATTTGTTCGAACACTTGAATCAAGTAATGTACCGCTCATAACACTATTTTGACTATTTCGCGTAGATGAACGCTATAAGAAAAAATGAAAATATTGTAAACATTTTTCAATGAAATTTATTCTATATGAATAACGAACAAATGTTGCTAATTCTCGAGGTGTATTTGGCTGATGAATTGAATCAATAGAATTTCGAAATGAATGATTTGTAATACGTTCCATATCGGTTCTCTATGTATATATACATATATATAAATAAACAAAGATTATAATTAAAAATAAATAAAAATGTCTTACATGTGTTAGACGAGATTTATTCATTTCATCATACCATTCTTGTTGTACGGGTCGTTGTGATCGAGGAGTTTCATTAAGTAACTTGAAAAGGAATAAGAAAAAAATAAGTAAATATGAGATTAGAAAAAAAGCTTTATTTACGTCAAGCTCCCCAAGATGTCGATGATGATTTATAGGAACAAGTGCTTTGCTTGATCGTCTTGATGACGTTGTTGCATACCCATTACTAATCGTACGATCTTGCTAAAATGATAGCATAACGTGGGTGTTTTTTTTTCTATATGATTAAAATTTATATAGTAACAACTTACTGTTGTTGAAGAATGATCATAATTATAATCAATAGCTAATTGTGCATTGGATGGTAATGTCGGTGGTAAAGCATCGATAGCTAATCGTGGTATATCATCATGTTTTCTTTTTCGTTTTATCGGTGGTAACTAAATGTAATACAAGAAATAGTTTATAAATCATTAAAATCAATTATCTTACTTTATGAACTCGTTTTCGACGAAGTTCTTGATCCCATCCTCGTCGTATCTAAATAAATAAATAATGTATTGATAATAATAAGTTTAGTACAAATAAAAAGAAAACAAATTTACCATAGTTGAATTTGTTACTTTTGGATTGTAAACTGTATTGACACTGCGTATTTTGCTTACTGCATTCCATTTTGGTCTATTTGCTGGACTCTAGAACAAAAAGAAAGGAACAAATGAAACACATCACATTCACAATTAAAATGACATACGTTCACACGTCGAAACTGAGACATGAACATAGTCGAAAGACGTAGATCAAACGCCAATTTTTCACTGTCCTAAGTTTATTAGGTTATCTTTATTTTATTTCATGTGGTAATATTTACAAATAATTAAAAACAAACTCATCGTTAAAACTAATCTCTTGTATTATTTCATAGAAGAAGACATTACAATAGAAAAACTACTCACTTGATCAGTATTTTGTAAATATTGTCGATTGTTTGACTACAAACAAACAAAAAACAAATAATAGAGAATAGATACTGTTTTTAAAAGAAAAACATATTACTATAATTATGTATGTATATATCTGTTTATTTATAGTACTTGTATTAAAATAAATATAAATATATCTAACAAATCAAATTTGACTGGATGCAAAACAAAAATATGTTTGTAATGTTGATCGATATTTTCTGTTAACTTTTTTAACTAATGCTTGTCAAGAAAAAGAAACGTTAAATGGAACACGGGACACGATAGTGTTAAAAGACGCAGAGGGTGTTCATTTTTTTCTCTTCCTCTCCCCTCTCCTTCTTTTATGAAGCATACACAACAAGTGAGAAACGAGCATTCACTTTGTTTGAATACATTTAAAATAAAAAATGATCCGTGAGCAAAATGAAAAGGTATGCTTTATTTGCATGATGGTTTCACACGCAATCGAGCACTACACGAAATTAGTTGGCAGGCATTTTTTTTTCTTGTTGCAATAAGAAACATGTTTTTTTCTTCTATACAAGTGTATATATTTTCCTTGGTAAATATTCAAGCTTTTGAATCATTAACATGTAAAATGTGTAAAGTAAAGCGAATAAAAGTGCATAGTAAACAACAATTTATTTTACTTAGCAACCATGTTGTTTCTTTTTTGTTTGTTTATTAATGATTACCTGTCGAGTTCGTGGATGTGATTTATAATCAAAATTTTCCCAAACATAATCTTTTAATTCTGAATCCTTTGTCCATGCAAGTCTATCGGAGAAAATCTATTAAAATTAAAAAAAAAAATCCAATAAAAGATTATACATTTTTATGATAAATATATACTTCAACAGGATTTGAAAGTTTTGAATAATTATAATTAGTTGCATCAACACGAGGCGTTACAATATCATTCCATTTTGGATCATGATGTTGCTAAATCGAAAATAAATATATTTTCTAAGTAAAAACAAAACATATTAACATACTGCAAAAATTGCTTTCTTTTTTGTTAATTGACGAAGATCAACTTCAGACCAACAATGTACTTTTGCTTGAGCATCCCAATTCAATTTTTCATCAAATATCTAAAAAAAAACAACGAAAAAGAATATGTTTATTAAAATAAAATATAATTAGTTGAATATTCTTACTTGGACATGACTCATTGATGTTCCTGATGGATAAATTGTTGATGGTGAATGTGTTCGAATTTTTGGTTCACCATTCCAACGAACTGATTTATGAAAAATCTTGAATGAAAAAAAAATAATTTTTTTAAATTAATCGATTAATTTTCGAGTTTCGTGATTTTTGTCTTTTACTTGAACTTTGGATTTTTTTGGTTGATAATTTATATTTTGCCATGTTGTATCTTTTATTTTTGACTTTCCTGTCCATACAGGTTTTTCATTAAAAATCTAAAGCAATAAAAAATGAATTCAAAAAGTTCAAATAAATAAATAATCTTACAAGTATCTCCGAAGGTCTTGATCCATAAGATCTATGTGATAGATTATCTGTAAAATTCTGTTGTAATCTTAGATCTAATTGTTGAATATTAGTGTGTATATCAAAAATCTATTTGGATATAAAAGATAAGTTTAATAATTAGAAAAAAATTACTTTTCTTTCCATTCCAGGTTCTAAATTTGATTGTTGATAAAAATATGGTTCACCTCTATCAGGTATTATTGGTAATGAATTAGTTGGAATAAGATGTTGTCGATGAGGAAAACGCTGATGTTCTTTTAGAAGTTCTCCTAATTTCGATTCACTATGCCATTTGGGTTTTTTATTAAAAATCTTTATTTTTTTTCGAGAATTTCATTTAGAAAAAAAACGAAATTAGAATAAAAAATTTTCATACTTTAAATTCACTTCGATGTGGTTCATAATAAAGATTTTCATATGAATAACTTCTCAATCTTGATGCAACATTCCATTCGAGAGATTCATGAAAAACTGTCGGACTTCCATCGGGTAGGCACCAAAGTCGCCCGAATAACTGAGGTGCCGGCTCCTAAGAATGGCAAACATTTCAATTAAAACGAAAATGAATTGTGTTCTATTCAACATACTTTTGCTGACTGAATTGGTTGTTGTTGTTCATCATCAGTTTGCTCTTCAGTGGATATCACTGGTCTAGGTTTTGGTTTTTTTATCTTATTAAATGAAATTAAATGATTGAATTAAAAAAAAAGTTTTTGTGTTACTTTGAATTTTTTCCGTTTTACAAATTTATTTTCTTCAACATTTGTTGGCTAATAGAAAGATAAATAAATGATATTTTCAACAAACAAAAACAATGCATTTACTTCAATAACCTAGAAGAAAACAAATTAATGTTATTAAAAGAAAATTTAATTGATTTAAACATACTTTTGGTGGTAATATTTTAACAGGTATAATTTTGATTTTTTTTGGTTGATATTCAAAATTACCAAATGAATTAACACGTGATTGTACATGAGCATATTTTTCATTTGAACGATGCTAAATTTAAATACATAAATTACATTACTAGTCAAAAATATAGGAACAACGTATTTTTGACTTTGTTTTATCTATGATGCCAAGCATTTAACTCAAATCCAAATATGGTACTTTTCAAATCTTAGAAGACTGCAAAAACATTAGTTTTGAAAAGTAGTATTTAATAGAAGACAAAACTCAGAATTTCCTACGGCCTTTCGAAAAGGATACTCTTTCTGTTTTTTAGCTATTTCTGGTTTTTGAAGAAGGCATAATTGATCCACATGAAATTTTTATTATAGATGCAGCATCTAAAATAAGGATATTCATCTTCGACGAAAAAAACAAAATTTAAACAAGGTTTCCCGTAGGACCATATTGGTCACGTTTATGACTCCGATCAAACTTTGTCCGTACGGGCTGAGATTTTGACCATAGATATTTGAAAGTATACTTCAAAGGTGAAATCGGCTGTTTTAGTTGTTGACCTTCATATTCGAATATATAGAGTTCTGAATGCCAGTGCTTCAGTTTTGGATTCGAGCCTTCACGAATTTCTCCCATAAAAAAGCGATGTTTTTGTAAAGTTTAAGGTATTTCCAAATAAATTTCCAGCTCGATCGGACAAAATTAGACGGAGATCGTAAGTAGACTCTATGTAGTCAAATGAAAAAGCAAGATTTCGCAAAAACCTTGTTTTAAATTTTTTTCCGTGAACACACGGGTACTTATTTTAGATGTTCTATGTGCGGTAAAAATTTCATGAGAATCAGTTGTACCCTCTTCGAGAACCGAAAATGGTCAAAAAGACCAAGAGATAAAACCCTTAAGGTAAGATAATAGGATATGTGGGAACCTCTCATTTTGTTCAGAATTTCATTCTCTCTAAAATGATACTCTTCAAAACAAATTTTTTTCAATCTTCTAAGATCTAAAAACTACTGTATTTGATTTTTCAGAAATTTTTCTCTCATAGTCCATATATGAATTTTCTGTCATGGAATGCATTTGGTAGAGAACTGTATTAGCTATTGAAACTACTATTTAGATTTGAGTTAAATCCTTGGTATTGCAAATTAAAAAAAGATACGTTGGCTTTATAACTTTGACGAGTGCTGTATATATCTACGAACTTTGCTTGATAAAATAGCAGCAACACGTTCACGCCAATTTGTTAAAAGTTGTCGTTCTTCCATGTGATAATGTGCAATACTACTTGAAAATGATACTCGTCGACGTTGTCGTTGCTTTGGTTTTTTTTCCAAAATATCATCATCATTATTCATTGCATTCATATCAGCTGTCTAAATTGATATTAATTATTAATACTGTGTGTTATTATTTGCCTCTCACGAGGCATACCTACATCGATTTGTGGTGATGATGGTTGTTGATCATCAATTGATTTTTTTCGTTTTGATTTTTTTTTTCGTACTCGAAGTGATAATTTTGAATGTAATTGACTTGGTGTCATTGATGGAAAATCTTCTTCATTAGATGTTGGTCGAATTTGTGATGACGATGAATGTACAGAATGATTTTTAGTAAATTTAATTGTTGCTGAATTAAGTTGAATATCATTTCGATATAAATGATCATCATTATGTTGTTGATATTCAACATGCAGTGGTGAATTTGATTTTTCTGATGATGGATATCGTTGATTTTCATTAGGACGTATTTGTTTTATTGGTGTTGATATTAAATTTTGTTTTGGAATTTCATATTGATTATTATGAATATTTTCATCTTTATCAGAAGATACAATTCTTTCATTTTGAGGAGATATTGATGGTGTATCTAATTGTTGTCGATATGTATCATCACCTTCAACAGATGTATGATTAGTATTGGATAATACACTACGACGTGGTGAGCTTAATTGTGAATGTCTATCATTATGTTCTAATTTATCAGGTGAATTTTGTTCTATGTGATGATAATTATTTGTTGTTATTTCATTAATTGGTGTTGATACTGTTGGTAATCGGTTACTTTCATCTTGTTCTTGTTGTTGATGCTCATTTGGTGACAGAAGTGGTGGAGAAGTTGAACGCTTTAAATCTTCAAGAGTTTTTGGATAAGAAAGTAAAGGACTTTGAATTAATAATTCTTGTTGATATCCAATGTTAGAGGGTGAAGGTGTTTGATGTGATAATTCCTCTTGTTGATGTTCCATATTAGATGGTGAAGGTGTTTGATGTAATAATTTCTCTTGTTGATGTTCAAGGTTATATGGTGAGGGTGTTTGATGTAATAATTCCTCTTGTTGATGTTCCATATTAGATGGTGAAGGTGTTTGATGTAATAATTCCTCTTGTTGATGTTCAATATTAGATGGTGAAGGTGTTTGATGTAATAATTCCTCTTGTTGATGTGCAAGGTTAGATGGTGAGGGTGTTTGATGTAATAATTCCTCTTGTTGATGTTCAATATTAGATGGTGAAGGTGTTTGATGTAATAATTCCTCTTGTTGATGTTCAAGGTTAGATGGTGAAGATGTTTGATGTAATAATTCCTCTTGTTGATGATTTGATGGCGAAACAGATTGAAGACGAATACTATTTTCCCGTGATACTGGCGGTAATTCATTATTAGGTACAAGTTCAATTTCAGCTGATGGACTGCGACGTATACCAGATGAAGATTTACGTAAGTTTTCTTCAGTGGGTAATTCAGCAGATTGAATACGACTTGGAAATTCTTGTAATGATACAATATTTTCTAATGGACTAGGTTCATTAGGTTCTGCAGTAGATATATCAGTATTTGGTTGTTGAGATGATAAGATTTGTAAATGCATTGTACTATTTATTATTGATGGATCATTGGGATCAGGATCATCAGTTGTTGTAAGAAGTACATTTGGATCGGATGGTACATCAATTGAAGAAACAGAATGTTTTTTCTTGGGTGTCGTTGTTCGTGATGTTTTTGGTTGATTATCTTCATGATCAGGTGAATTGAGTGTAACAGGAAGTGTTAAACTTGCTGTTGAACTTCGACGAGATTCACTTGGATTAGATATTGAATAATTACTTGGTATTCGTTGATTAAGATCATATGGTGTTTGTTGTTCATTGTGAAGAAAATGTTCACTTTCAGCTGAAAATGCATTTGGTTCATTTTCATTTGTTGGTATTTTATTCACATGATCATGTGAATTAACTAATTGACTTAGATCATCATTATTAGACAAAGGACGTAATGAAGCGGGTCTTCGTTGACTTGTATGAGATTGTTCACTAGGGGCCTTCGATGGTGGACGAGATATTGTTCTTGAACTAGTAGATGAATTTTCTCGACTGAGATTATTTGATGAAATTTTTCTTGCAGAATCAACACGTGTTATTTCTTCATCATTTTTTGTATGACTCGAAGTTCTAGATAGACTACGTGATAATGCTCTCGATGAAGATTTTAATCGTTGATTAACAGAATCAATTCTTTCAAGTGTTTCAATATGTTCATTATCGATACTTTTTAATGGAGTAGTATGACGTGATGATGATAAACTATGTGTTTCTTCATTATTATTTTTGATTTGTTCGTCTTCATGTTTTTCGGATGTTGCTGATTGAATACGAGAATGCACTTGATAAGATTTTGCTGATGATGATGAACGAAGACGAATTTGTGAACTATTTGAACGTTTTTCTTGTTCGTCGATATTTGAATCGACTGCATCTGTGTTGGCCATTTTAGTTGACGGTTGTCGATGATGATCGTCGTTACTTGTACTGTTGTTTCTAGCAAATTGCGTTTGCATGTCGTCAATAATGGAAGAAGGTAAGATTTTTTTCGGTGACAGAGACGGCGACGGTAAAACTGAAGTAGTAGTTGTTATACGTTTGTTCGTTGCATCCGTTTCTTTGCTTTCTATTTCTTCATTTTCTTCTACTTTTCTATGCTCATTGTTATTCTTTATATTTGACGACATTGCCGAGGTAAGTTGTTGTTGTTGTTGTTGTTGCTCCTGCTGCTGATGTAGCACGTGCGCTGAATGTAAATGTAATAGTGATGCTTGAGATTGTCCCATTAAGCTATTATTGGTACTATCATCAGCAATGACATCTGTACCAGTTGGTATATCAAAATTACTTTGATCAATTGGTATTAGATCTTCTTCACCTTCACCTTCATTTCCAAAATCACTAAAGAAATAAGGAACACGACCATCAGCATTGCTATCTGCAGGAGGAGGAGGGGGAGGTGAAGAAGGAGGCGGAGAAGGAGGAGGATGAGGAGAAGAAGATGAAGCAGCAACAGCAATAGAGTCAATTGTTGGCATTTGTAATGAAGACGATTTTTCATGGAGATCATCAGTAATAATTGGAGTTGTTCTTGAAGCTTTTGTTGATGGACGTCGATGTTGAATAGGTTTTGAAATAATTGGATTAATTTGATTTTCTAAATCAATTTCAGTTACATGATGTATTTCATGAGGAATAATTATATTTTGTGATTTAAGCTCAGGTTCGTTTTGAACTTCTTCTGGTGCTCTTTGAATAAGTGATTGAGAATCTTGAATAGTTAATTCTTTAGTTGTTCTTATATCATGGAAAGAATCAACTGTTAATGGTCGAGCAGCATTTTTATTATCGATTTGATCAGGTTGAATTAAATCTTCAACGGATTCATTATATCCTATTTGACTATTACCACTAAATTCTGGAACAAAAATCATCGCTCGACTTTCAGGTGGATTAGACACAGCACGAAGAAATTGATCGGTATTTAATGTTTCATAAGGACTTGTTTCTTGCATTTCATTTAAGATAGATTTATGATCAATATTTTCTGGATCATTTGAAAGTATTTCGGTTTCTTCAGCTTCTGGTGGATAATGATATTGACCACGTAATTGAAGTTTTGATGATGAAACATCTTAAAACAAGAAAAAAAAAATTAAATAAAATTATTTCATAGAATAAAAGAGCGAAACGAAAAATGCACATAGAAATATGAACTTTACTTTTCTCAATTAGTTTTGGTGATGATTGTGGTGATTGTATTTCAGTTATTTTAATTTGTTCATATGGTGCACCAACAGATGATTGTCTTGATGCTTTTCTTGAATCACTTGTTAAACTAGGTATAACTTCATAAATTCGTTTTGGTTTATTTGGCCATATTTGACTACTAGTAACACTATTTCTTTCTATTGTTCTTGTTGTTGTTGAATGTGCTGATGTTTGTTGAATTTTTTTATTCATTGGTGAAGTTATTATTGGAATAGGTTTTTTCACTGGTACACTAACTGGTTTAATAGCTTTTGTTGTTTGTCGAAAGAGGTTCTGATCTAGAGTCTAGAAGGAATAATCTTTTTTTCGTTGACATGAAATCAATAGAGAGAAAATTTCTTACATCTAATTCTATAATAGGTGAAAAACGAGGTGGTATATAACGTTGTACCGAAGGTCGTCGTTCAAGTGAAGTTAAGTCTCGATCAATATCATTCATTGTACGTTCAATATCAGTTAATAATTGTTCTCGCAAAACATGTGCCGTTTCAATACGAACATCACTTACAGATGGACGTTGACTTGGATTTGGTGGTACATATGTTGATGATAAAGGTGGAGCAACAATTGCTCGTCGTTGTTCTAATGGTTTAATATCATCAAATATAGATATTGGTTCACCTAAATCAGCAATCGTATTTATTGATGATGATGGTATATCTTGAAGAAATGATGGTGGTTGATAAGAATATCGATTACGTGGTGAACCATATAAAGTAGCTGGACTTCGATTAGGACTTGTACTTGAATATTGCATTTCATAAAGGTTTTGTTGTGCTTGTTGTCGAGTACGTAAACGAGGATCATAATATTGATAATGTGCGTTTCGATTTATACTATTTGAAGAAGGATTTCGAGATGATGGTGAACCTGTTGGAGGTAAATAAGCATAATATCTATTATCATTATTTTCATTTTGACGACGCATGTTTAATATTGAATAATTATTATTTTCATTTTTTCTGGAAAATAAATCATTGATTTTTATTTTAATAGTAACTATAAAAGAGAAAAATCAATGTTAGTTTTGTTTTTAACGAAACATAATTTTGTATGCCCTTTCTTTCTTTCTTTTTTTCGCATGTAAAATTCATTGAATAAACAAATATTCACTTATGTTTAACGTTTATTTGCCACGCTGTCGCATAACCACTTTACTTTTTTTTTTTATTATTTCTATTGTATTTCTCTCTACTATTACCTTTATGTAAGTGTGATCGACGTATACTTACCTTGTACAATATGGAATTATGTAAAGCATGGTAACACATTGTTACCTTATGTTTTGAATAGAAACATTATGTTGATGAGGAATGTTTTTCAATTTTTTTTCGATCATATATATAGAAAGTTCGTATTTATTTGTAATAGCACATGTTTAATTGAAAAAATGTTCAATATAATCTTTATTTCGTTTTTTTAATATTCCAACTAAAATTTAGTTATGAATTACTAAAAGAAATCCTATTGAGATGTTGTAGCTTTAAATATCGATATTTGATGTGGTATTGTGACACATTCTCAAATTCTTATTTAACAGCATCTCTTCTTTTTTTTTATTTAATCAAGGATACATTTTGTTAATATTTGAACGTTTGTATGTACCTAGTATCAATTACGTTCACTATGATTAACAATTGAAACCAAATTTTTTTCTTTTGCTCATCACTGAATCCTTTGAGTATGGAATTATTTTTAAAAAAATTATATCAATCATCTTGGGATTCAATTCTTGTTCATAAATTCATAATGTGCTTAATGATTTTATTTCTTAGAATTTTAATTAACTGCAGTCATGTTCCACGAATCAGCAATGTAAAATGAATACAAAATAGATCAAAGTAAACCACGTTTTCCTTTTGAACAATATGCATAAAACAGCTTTATATTACTGAATTGTAATGGCATGAAAAACTGAAAATATACCTCAACGATTTCTGAGTGGTACATTTTATTATACTCTACGCCTATGTTAAAAGGTAACAGTTTAGCAACACTTCACTGAGTATGAAGAGAAATATAAACAGTACAGTTTAATTAATAATAAAATTGGTTTTATACACTGAAGAGGTTCGAATCATTTCTCAGTTCTATATGTAGGATAGGAAGTCAGAAAAAGACCACATTACACTCGACTTCACTTGCTGTATCTTGTTCGTTTCAATTATACTTCAAAAACAATATTTTGGAATGAGTTCTGCTGGAAATGTATTCAGAAAAAGCCTCACTCTACATTTTTTACTAAAAAAATGTTACCGTACAAAGTAAGTACAATGATCTTTTTCTTCCAAAGTCCTGTTAATTTTTCCCTGAAACACAGCTGATAAAAGAGAACTTTTTCTCGTCTGCTTGTAACTATAAGAGTTCTCTCTCTGCTCATATGGCTTGCACGCCACCAGTTTTATCATAAAGACAGCTAAAGTTGAGGTTGTGTCACTTCACATCAATACATACAAGTGTCTGTCAAACAATGTGAACACTAGGTGAGAGAATAGAGAATGAATCAAATTTCACTCAACTACATATTTTCATAGAGCATCGAACATTGTACAAACTGAACTGTTTACATCCTTTTTCTCTTGTTTTATTGTAGTCACAAAGATTCCTTTTCTTTACACATGTCACCACAAAAAGACTTTCTTTTTATAATGTGTCTTTTATAAGTCATTAATCATATAAACAAAAACTTTGCGTGTTGGACCAAGAGAGTGGAGTAACATATAAAAAAATTATCCAAATCGATCAAGAGGCACACAACTTATTAATTAAATACAGTTAATATCTCAATCGTCCCAAAAACTTGCAATTTATTCATATACATGTCACACACGAAAACATATTTGAAAATTTGGGAGCATTCAAATCTAAGAAAAGACAACTATTACTCTACCATATGGAATAACTCAATAAAATTTTACAGTATCATATACTTAGACCTTACATATCATTTATAAACCATGTGAAACTCGAAAATAATGGAAGACCGGTGAAAAAATACTAATCAAAAAGCATTTTTTCATTGACCCTTGCTACGATAAACTAAATTTCAATAGAGAAACATGGGCCAACTCTATAACTTCCTACAATTCGTTAAATTTCAATAAACAATATAGATTTATAAGTTGGAGATGATCGACTTGTGACCATTATGACCTTATGTGTCTAAACACACATTCAATAATATTCATGTAATACGATCATTCTGTCAAGATCTTTCTTACAGGTGTCATTCTTGAATATTTATTGTTATACAAGATACTACTTTGTTTCACTCGTTATTTTCATTAAATTCAACAAAATCAATTTTAGCATCTAAAATATATTCATCAATAGTCATCAAACTTCTTATCATACTAAAAGGAAACACACAGAAAACCTGGAATCATCATTAAAGCAGATATCAAACACGATACAATACATCTATAGAATGCGAAAGGAGAGCAAAATTAAGAAGACACGGACACCCATTCTCACAATAATACACAAAACAACAGATTTTTTTCTAAAAAATATTACAAATAGAGGTCAGATTATGTTACGAGAAAGAATCACAAAAGTAGACAATAAATACTACTGGTTTCTGATATACGTGATAAAATATAATGGAGAAATATTAATTCGATGAGGAAAACAAAATAGACATATGTCTTATCAAGGTTATGAGTTTTCTTGTTTTTTGAGAAATGATTATTGATATTTTTTATTGTATTAGCTTACACTGCCCAATGGCTTAAGACCCATCATAGCTTCAGCAATGCCTAAATAATAAACCATTTGTGCGATACCAAATAAAGGTGCAATAACCATAACACGAAGAAGTGAACCTTTAAAAAAGGCACTTGAACCTTCTTCCTTCATGATTTTTCTAAAAAATACAAAAATATAAGATAAATATTAGAATATTAATAAATCAATTCACTTACCCAGCACAATCGATTATACCAGAATAGCGATGTTTATATTCTAATGTTTGTAAACGAGTTTTGACAACTAAATAAACGAAATTCAATAATAGACAAAGTAAACATAATTTTTCTTGATTTATTAGAATTTATAAAGAAAAAGCCTAATTTTAAATTAAAAACTTCCAAGCATATTCATATGTTAATAATAAGAAAGTGTAATAAAATAATATCAAACGATGAATCATGTTCATCATATCATTTAAAACCAATTAAAAAAAAACAAATGGTGACAATTAAACAAAATAAAATCTTTTTTATTCACTTATTTGATATTAGATAGTGCTTCATAAAGACATTAAAATAACTGTTTCTTTTATTCTGATTACTTAGATAATCTTCTTAGGGTCTAAGCATGATCAATATCAATTAAGCCTAAAGTATAAAAGAGAAGACAATATTTGACACAGAAAAGATTCTTCAGATGTCATAAAAAGAAGCCTCTAAGTATCGTTTATTTTCTCGAAACAATCACGGTGACTTGAAATACATCAATGTTATTCTCTAAAGTTGCTATATCTTATCATACCGTGTACAATTTAGAAGTAAGTTTTGATTAATTAAATTTTCTGATCAGATGTATTGAACAATTCTTTTATTCGAAAATAAACAATCTTCTAAGTGTGCTTTATTAAGGGATCAAATTTGACGTTAGTAACAATATTAGTCCTTTACAATTCATTTAATCACTATAACAGCTAAGTTTGTAGTTAAGACCACTTTCGTAAAAAATCTCAATTTTTGTCATAAACGATATGACTTTTTTATTCGACAGGTCGTTTTTTTCGAAAAACTTTAGATGATTTTCGATTTTGTGTACTTGAAAAATATGCTTTTACGATCGCACAATCCAGAATTTTCTGTGCATCTTCATTCTATAGATTTACTTTTTTTTGTTTAATAAGCGTATATGAAAATGTTGGGTAAGACAGGCACCCTTATATGAACTAAGCTTGGTTACGATTATATAAAAGAATTCTTTTATAATTGGGGTGGCATTTTTTTCGAGACATATAACTTTTCATCCGTCTTCTCCTCTTCAAAAGTAAAAATTTTATAAAAATGCTCTGTCATGTTCTGCATCCTGACATAATCTTTGAAACAAACGTTAAGTATATAGAATGAAGACCTAGAAAGAATTTTGCGTTGACAAATGAGCTACTGTTGATGTTTGTTTATTGAATGACGGCCGAAAACGTTACCATAGATTCTTCACTACAGCCCCAGCATGTCCTAAAAGTTTCATGCAATTTGAATGCACATAAGCCACGATGGATTTTTGAGTAGGAGAGTGCCTTTAAAGAGTTAACTTACGGTGGTAGAAAGAAAAATAGTTTAACTACAACGTATGCTTGACTTTTTTTTAAATGTTAAGCAATTAGCTCAAATGCAGATATTGATTTTAATATGCAATAGAATTTCCTTGTACCAAGGCTTCATAGAGGACCCATGATGGTAAGGTTTCCAAAAAAGCAAACACGGTATTTTTCAGGTCTCAGAAACAATTTTTTAACAATGCAATTTTACAGAGCATAAAATGAGGGTCGTCGCATTTTGTACAACCTTTCCTTGAAAATTTGAAAGTATTAAAAACACCATAAAAACGAAACTTATCAAAAAATCGACTAAACACGTTTTTTTTCAGTTTTCTTGATGCTTTTAATATTTTAAGAAAATTTTATAGAAAATGCGGCGACCGCCATTTTGTGCTCTTTACAATTGCACTGGGAAAAAATAGCTTCTGAGACCTGAAAAATACCATGTGCAGTTTTTTTGGGAACCTTGCGATCATCGTTCATCTATAAGGCCTTTTTAAAAGAAAGATTCATTGAATATTAACCCTTTACCCCCCATTGGCAATTGGAATTGTCATTTTTAGAAACACCGTAGAAAACTTAGCATCTGAATTATTAAGAATCTTCTTGGATATATTCTGTAGGAAACTCCCTAAGCTACCGATTGGCAAAAAAGAGAACCTTTAATCATAACTCTGTTTCCAAGACACAAAACTTACAAAAAAGAAGAATAGACGATTATTTTAAAAAAGGACCCTTTGTTTTTCTTTTGTTGTTTTTATTCATGAACAATGTATATATTATTGATAGTTTATGTGATAAATGTTGCCGAAAGTTGCTGCTGTTGAACGAAATGTTTTTTAAAGTCCTCACAAAGATTAGTCGAACATGAGGCTGAACTACATGCAATGGCAAATCCAGTTGCCATTGAGGGGTGAGGACATTAAAAAAAATTTAGAAATTCTCGTCTAAATGCAATAATTTTTTGCGTTGACATACACATAGGTAAACAGACTGCTATTATCTATAAAAATGAGCATCATTTGTTGTTATATAAATTTTTGGAGCAAATGTAGATGGATGTAAGGATCAAATTGGACAAGAACATACTCGAACTACACTCACATCAACACCAATACTCACACCGTAATTCTCTCAGATCTTATCATATTTGAAGTTGAAGAACAGTGTATCAATAGTTATGCTCTCTACTTATCGGTTTAGTTATTTCGAGAAAATCAGAGATTATCTGCATACGAACTTACTTCAGATGATCATATGCCGTAGGAAAAATAAGAATATTTTTTATGTTTTAGTCTTTTATTGTTTGTATTGTTAGAATACAACAATATATGATATTTTTTGCGAAACCAATAAACTATTTTCAAAAAAATAGAAAAAGTAGTTTTCATGTCCTTACCCCCCAATGGCAACTGGAGTTGCCAAATCACCGTGCGTACATGTAAAGGATCCTGGCCAATCTGATGATACTATTGAACTACTAAAGATAACGGTACTCCATTTCACTAATTGTTTTATTAGTGTCTTCTCTGGAATCGTTGTGGGGGGTAAAGGGTTAATGCTCATTACAATGCTAAAACTCACTAAGGGTGTTGTAGTGCCCCCTGTTTTCGCAACCTGTACTAGATTCAGCATGGCATAGTCCCCAAACAAAAGCAATGATTTCCATATAGCCATAGCATGAACTCCTATAGATAATTCATATAATCCGCTTTATGATTTCTCGAAAAAACGTCCATAAAAAAATAGAAAATAATTTCCGAGGAAAATCCAAAGTACGGCTAAATCTTATATAAACTCATGCTTTAGTTATAATATTTTCTTTTCTGTGCACCCAAATCTAAAACGTCTAAATCTAGTAAGTCTAAATCAGTACATCCAAATCTATGTGTACATCTAATACGCTAGGATCTCTCGTCTATTTCAAGCTAAGAATTTGAACTTGATTACTTAAGAATCCAAAAACTTTTGCTGCGTAACTGGCCTTCTATTTTTGCGTCGCAGAGTGGGGGCGCGTAGCGCCACCCAAAAAGCCGCGACCCATACTCGTCTCTGTGTACTCAGTGAATCCTATCTTGATTTTATGTTCTGACATAATTGAATAGCATTTGTAGAATGTGAGTATAGATTTAGACTTACTGACTTAGACGTACTGGATTTGGATGTATAATAAGGACGTATACTTATACGGAACAGAAAAAGTTTGGACATTTTTTAATCGTTTCCTACCGAAGCGATNTCTTCTCCTCTTCAAAAGTAAAAATTTTATAAAAATGCTCTGTCATGTTCTGCATCCTGACATAATCTTTGAAACAAACGTTAAGTATATAGAATGAAGACCTACAAAGAATTTTGCGTTGACAAATGAGCTACTGTTGATGTTTGTTTATTGAATGACGGCCGAAAACGTTACCATAGATTCTTCACTACAGCCCCAGCGTATCCTGTAAATTTCTTGCAATTTGAATGTACATGACCCAAGATCGATTTTGGAGGTGGAGAGTGGCTTTAAAGAGTTATCTTAAGGTGTTGGAAAGAAAGAATTTTAACTACAACATATACCTGATTTTCTTTTTCTATAATATTAAGTAATCAGTTGAAATTCATAAAGTGGTTTTGATATGGAATGAAATTTTGTTTTACTCTCATTGAAATTTATGTATATAAGATTTTCATCAATAAACACCTTTATGAAAAACATGTCTTACCATCGAATGGTGTTGCTAGAAAAGCACTAAAAGCACCAGCAACGATACCCGATGCAAATGAATGATAAAATGCTACTTGATTATTACCCGGTGTTTTTCCCTATAAATGAAAAACAAAAAACAACGAAACAAAACAAAATATCATTTCAACTAACTTTATCATTAAAGTAAGCAAATAAAGGAAAGTACATCATCGAAAAAATAACATCTCGGGTAAATGTTGCACCAACACCTTTATATAAACCAATTATACCTTTTTCACGATATAATTGCATTGCTAATTGTCGAGCATTAGGTGAATGAGTTGAATCTTAAAAAAAAATGAAACAAAACAAATTAAATAGAATACATTTCAATATTCTTACCTTTTGATTTTGCCATTTGTCTTTGAATTTTAAGTAATTCCATTGGTGTTGTTACAACAATTTGACATGTACCAGCGCCAGCACCAGCTAGAACTTGTCGATGCATAGGAAGCTGTCCATCTCTTTAAAACAAATATTATGCATTTAATATTTATACAATCTTATTTTATCTGATTTACTTGGTTTTTAATGCATAACGAAAACCATCATTAGCAACAAGTTTAATTGCTTTTTCTGGTGTTATTAATAAAATATTGACTGCAGAACCTAAATAGATATTTTTATTAAATATTTATAATTAATAAACAACAAACAACGCTAACCACTATACATTCCACGAAAACCGCCATTTCGAAATGTTTTCACAGCACAATCAAAACTAAATAAAAATAATAATATCAACTTTCTTTTATTAATAAATTATCCTGGTTGATGTACATGTTCCTATAAAGTGGTGGTTGACCAACAACTTTTGATTGATTTTGCATTCGAGTTTTAACTAAATCTAACGGAAATACACATATAACACCAACAATACCGGCAATACCACCATTGATAATGCGTGGTAATAATCTATTAAAAAGCATAATTTTATTAATAACGAATAATCGAAAAGTTTTTAAACAAGATGTTTGTTCACTCTAAACTTGCTAGAATAGATTTTCAACGAGTCAAAAGCTATGAGTGAGGACCAGAGTTTTGTGTGCATATGAGTTTTCTTGTTTGAAAAGTTAAAAAAAATAGGTTTGTGTGCAACTTGTTGGTCCACGTTTTCGGTGGACATATTTGGTGATTTTGACCTTCTTGAAAGCATTTCAGATGAGTCAAACTATAGTTCGAAACCAGAATGTGAATATGGGTTTAGAAGTATTGTGCCTGTTTTTGTTCAAGAATAGTGAGACACTTTTTGAAAGATCTGAAAATGGTGAGTGAACAAACTTTTGTTTACTCTGTAAATCCCTTTTTTGAACATGTTAAAAATTGTCGCAGTCGATCGTTTTGTAGAGCGGATACTTCTCTCCTAAATGTGATATTTCACTAAGGTGGAAATCTCTTCAAATATGCCTTACCATGTTGATGATTTTCTGCCTATAGAGACTACATTGTACTGTAACGACAGTACTAAAAGGATTTGACTAAGCTACCGAATTTTTTTTCTACGTCTGTTTTCTAGAGGCGCCATGTTTTCGCAAAATTTATATTTTCGAATTTTGATCTAAAATTTTGTGCATATAGAGAGCTCAATTAGAGTAGTTTCCATGGAAGGATTCATAAATTTTGAACAAAGTCTCTTCATGATATGAGGATTTCAAGATATAGACCTTTTTTATGGACAGTGTATATATGAATTGCAAATTTATTGTACCGTTCTGTGAAAAAATGGACGAGAAAACAAATTTTCGATTCTTAAAACGGTCATTAGTATATTCTATAGCATTACATGAGAGAAGAATATAAATAAATTTTTCCGACTAGCACTATCAAATTAGTCGACATATGAGAGTTTTTTTCAAATTACTGTTTAAATTCAGGATCATATGACTTTGATAGCAGATGTCTCAGTGGAATTTTCCGACGATATTTTAGATTTCATCATCAACCATTTTCTTTGTAATGGAAAACTATGTTTGATCTAGAATTAGCGGCTGAAACAATAAGATTGGTCTTAAATTATATTTAGTTTTTACACTTATAAAGTGATAAAATTTACCAATGTACAGTCAATTAGAGAATGTATATAATTAGTGACCTTTTTCAGTGAATTTATCAACTTGTAAGACACAATCTAATATTAATTCGGATGACTCTTGATAGCTTCTTAAATATGAAGTCAATTAATATATTATGTATTCTACATATGCTTTACTTGTTATGCAGTTATGCGCATCACAATCTCGCGTGACAAATTGACACTAATTTTTCTCGTTTTCAGGAACTATAGGTTTTCTGACCTTGATATTTTAAATGATAGTTGACCATAATGAGAAAACAAAATGATTAAAATTTCATCTGAAACTGTCATGCCTAAAGAGAGTTATACGTCAAATAAACCAAAAAAAAATCTTGCATAACATTTAGCATGACAACCGAATTTTCCAACTTTATTTTATATTTTTTTGTTAACAAGAATTAGTACAACTTTCTCATCGTCTTTGGTAGTTTTATTTCCCATTTATTGACTTTCATTCAACACCAACTGGATCAATTTTAGATGATTAGTTAGATACCAAAGTGGTTTTCAATCTCGCATAATAGAAAATCAAGAATTGACTGTACATCTGATATACAGAGAAAACTGCAATAAGAAACACACTGAAAGAACCAATTAGTTCGATATCCGAGAAGTATAGACTGTTTACTATAATATTGGGAAACTTTCGAAGCTCAAATGGTAACAGAACCAATCCGTTATATGGCCCTTTTTTCCTTATAAATGATAGTAAAAAATCAAAGTATTTCACCTTGCGCATCCAATATCTCGAGTTTGGTCCGAGATAAATTTGTGATTTTTTGTATGGTAGTGAGCAGTTCTTAGAGGGGCAAAACCTGAAAAAACCATAAAGATTGATTGAGAAGAACTTCATTTGTTAAAATTTTACATATAAGAATATAACGGTACAATAATCTTGCAATTCACTCATATACATTTTTTGAAAGACTCACACTTAAACAGAGTTTTTAGTGGAAGGTAGTCTAGTTGAGTTCTCTATATGCACAAAGTTTCAGACCGAAATTCGAAAATACGAGTTTTTCGAAAACCTGGTGCCTCCTTAAAATAGGCATATTAAAATTTCTGTAGCTTAGTCAAATCCTTTTAGGATTTGTATTAGAGCTCTATGCAGTATCCATAGGCAAAAATATCATTGAAATCGGAAGGAAGCATCTGGAAAGATTTCTTTGTAAACTGTAGCTTTTACCTAAGCATTTTCTTCAAGAGCATCTTTCAATATAAAACGGTTACCAATTTTTCAAAAATGAGTATTTAGAAAAAATGAAAATTTGGGTGCCTTGTCGAAAGACAAAGTGCATTTTTTTGGTTAACTCCTGATCTACAAGCTTATGTATCCATAAATATCTCAAATTTTATTTTCGAATTGCAATAGTGAAAGTACAATAATTTTCCGTCCAAACAAATCTTTTGGGTTTTTTTTAAAAATTATTTGATTACTCTTGAACAAAATTTCTAAGTCGATATTTGAAAAGAGCATGCTAACTCATAGCTTTTGAATCGTCGAAAATACTTTCTAGTAAGTCACAAGTGAACAAATATCATGTCTAAAAACTTTTCAATCACCCGTTATTATATTAAAAAAAAAACTTACCCAAAATCTTGCTTTGGTCCAGATGCCATGACTTATATTATTCGAGACTTAAAGTCTAACAGTTTATTCTAAGAAAATTTGAATCATATACATTATAATCTACAAAAGAAAAATGATTTGATGTTGTTTTTGTTTTGATATATTAATACATATATTTGTAGCTAGATGTGTTTTATAATTATTATGAAACGAATAATTAAACAATAAGCTTAAAATTATATATATATAACACAAAAGAATATCACACATAAAAAATAATCAATTTTAAAATCTTAAAGTGGAATGTATATTTGATTTAATTTGTTTTCAATGTAATTTATTAAATGAATCAAGATGAGATAAATTTTGTTTTGCTTTTCTTTTGTTTTGTTTTGTTTTGTTCTCGTTGGATTGTATAATAGCCGAAAGACAAAACAACTAAAGACACATTTTTCAAAATGAATAAAATATTTTTTGATTATTTGAGAAAAAGTTCTGTATAACGTGCAATTAAAATTTCCGTAAACGTATTAATAAGTGCATAATTAGTCAATGTATTCATTTGAACATCTTCAGACCATGATAGATTAGGCCCAAAAACAATCGATAAATTTGTTGTTGTCATTAGATTTGTATTTGAATAATTAGCCACCTGAAAACAAGAAAAAAGTTTAGTCATTATTAATCAATAATCGCTTTGATATAGAATTAAATAGTACAGGAAAGAAAAAATATGCACTCTTTTCAATGTTAAGTGTCTCAATAGAATCTCTTACTGTGTAATAATAACAATATGTTTATGAAATCGAAATTTTTTCGACTTTGAATTAGCCTTGTATTTGAGTCAGAGATCATCTCTTTTAGAATTAATGCAAAATTAGCTCTAGAAAACTAATGATCATTAGCTAAGTGATGAGATATAGTGATTAATGTTTACTTCATTTGTTTTGCTTTTGGCATCTCAATATACAGTAAGATGTAAAAGAAAATTGCTTTTAGATTTTTCAAAATTTCTCCTACTCTATGCAATGAATATTAAAACCTTCTATATTGATCGATTACACATACAGTGCAATGTAGAATTATAGCAATTAATAAAATATTTGTTCTTTCTTCGATATAATAAGAGCGAGAAACGTATCTTTCTCTTGCAAGTCATGAAAAATTTTAGAGTTTAGATGTCAATTCTATCTCATTCCTTGTTCTGGAATCTTTGCAATTCATATCCTATAGACAAGTTGCTCGGCTATCGGTCATAAATTTTCCATTAAATTGAAGTCTGTACCAGTAGTAAATGGCTAGATAATGGTTTCGGGTAGACGTAACACTAAAATTTCCTTTGCAAACCTTGATGCTCAACAATGCTTCGCTCTTAGATCTTTAAAATTTTATATTAGATAGTTCGGGCAAAGGTCTTCTTCACATGGATAATTTGACATAGCATTACGATAATCATTGATCTAATAGTGTTGAGGAAGTACTAGTCTTGCTGGATGCACAAAACTACTTCCTAATGTTCGGAAATAGTTCTAAAGCGACCGCTCAAAAATTTAAGAAACAGACCTCAACGAATTTGTATCTCATACAGCAATACTTTTTACAATCTACTATAAATATAATTCTTTACTATGAGAGATATGACGAAAGATTTAGTTTAAACATATGCAAAAAATCATTTTCTTCTCATCTTACCAAATTTAAAAATTCAATTAGATATTTTAAAACATTATAATTTTGTGTTGGTAATTTTTCAATAATAAGATCTCGAATAACATCAACTTGATCAGGCCGTTTAAGTGCTAAAGAAAAACCTTCGTTATTAAAATATTCCATAAACAAAAAATGTATCGTTTAAATTAGTTATATAGTTAACCTAAAGATAATGTCAGTAAACTTTTTTTTTCAATTCTAATCATTAACTAAAGCAAAATTAAGAAAAGTGCAATATTAATTAAATAATACAATGTGTACCGCATTGAAGCAGACAAAGAAACCGAGAAGATGTGGCCAACTAAGAACTTTGCACACCACAACGAAGATGGACGAACAGAAAAACAATAACATACTCACTACCTGAGAGGCCAAGAAGTTCAGGATATAAACGAAATGTCATTAATGGTTCAGATAAATCTCGTAAAAATGTTTTCAAAACACATGCTGCTAAATGAACATCACCATATTGTTCGAATATAACTGGTTGACCTGTTCATCATAGAAAACATTGAAAATAATGTTGAATTCATAAATTATTTTCTTCAAACCTTCATTATATTTTTGTTGTATTTGTTTAATCACTGAAACAACTGCAGCTCGTCGAAATATACCTGGTTCATTAAGTCCTACATAAAAATAAATAATGATAAAAACTTTCACTAAGAAAAAAAAATGAAATTTATTGACCACAATTTTTAATGTATTCAATTGTCTGTCGAACAACGATTGGCACAGTTTCACCTGGTTCATTTTCTAGAATACTAAATTCAATTTCATTTTAATTATCGAAAATTTCTCCATTTAAATCATATTACAATTGAAGTGAAACATGAAATTTTGTTGTTGGTCGTATTTGATTTTTTGGTAATTCCAAACGAATAACAGGATCAAAACTATATTTATTAGAGATTGAAGATGTCCTAAATGATAAAATTGTTGTTTCTATGCTTACTTTTTAACTTCAACAGGTATTCGAATATTTTCAAGATGAACATATTCTTCAAGTTGACTAAGATGATTAATATAAGTCACTTTACGTGAGAATTTTGCACTTAAAATTAAAAAAACAAACCAATTATATAAAGTGTCGGCAATGCGACATTAGAGCAAACACTTTTTTTGTGCGCTTTTTTTGTCATGCTTGGATAGAGTTCGTCGAGTAAACTCTAAATATATCGTCTTTGACATATTCAAACGATGTTTTCACAGTGAAACTCAAGTAAATCAACAGAGATGAAACCAGTACCGACGCAGATTACAGACCGATCATCACCGATGTGTCTTATTAATTTTTTTGCTCCTTTGTATCTCATTGAGGATGTGTAATGGAACTTTATTGAAAATTCACTATATCAAATATTACTATCTACAAATGGAACAGTCCGACAGCTCGTCAGTCCAGTACCGATATGGATTTCAGATCGATACCGGTACCGGTCGTGAGAAATTCAGACTGGTTTCATCTGTGGTATATCAGCTTCAAAGAAACCAGAAAAGTCTATAAAAACTGAAATACACAAAAAGTAGAGCCCTGTTTTGGATTTCAAACCTTGATTTCGATTCGAACTGGCTGTATTGAATTTTTTTTCTGAGTTAATATAGGAAATACATGATATAGATTTGTAAATAAGTTTCAAGAAAAACAAAATTTCAGAGAGGCCTAATCATTACTAAGTAGTACTAAAAGAAATATATCTGCTAGTCAGAAAAAGGTGTTCAGAGTTTCTCACAGTCAGAAAGTTTGATACCGCAGTGCTCTAATCAAAAGCAACAAGTTTCAGTAATCTCCATATTTATGTGATTTCTTTTAGTTTTATTCGTCATACGGTTAGGAAAAATATGATACATACTTTTTAAAAAATATTATTGAATTTTTAAGAAAATCAATCGTTTCAATATGATACCAAAACGACATAAATACGGATTTGTATTTGAAGTTTTTAACTATTCAAACTTAAATTTCAAATGAAATGAATATCATATTCAAAATCAGCAGAAAAATCTGCCTAAGTTAGTATACTCACTATTTAAAGTCAATTTTTGTCAAATATCACTTCCTACACCTTGTCACTATTATTTATTTTTTAGAAGTAAAAAAACGTTTCTGATGTCATGGTTTTGCGCGTTCTTTTCTGTAGTGTAATTTTCCTCTTCTCTTTATGTCATATGAATATTGCCCTTCCTATCATGTACACTGCCCTTTTCTGCCTTATGATCGATTCTTTCTCTCTCTATGTTCTGTGAGGGGTTTTCCTTAACACGCTCCGATATTATCATATCCAAGCTATTGTTCACCAATCTATGAATAGTGACAGATTTATTACAATAAATGAGATAGAGGATATATATGTGTATTGGATGCAATTATCTTTGACTATTTTCTTAAAAATCCAACAATTTTTTTGCTTAATCCTATGATGAGTAAAATCAAAAGAAAATTCGAATAAATATTCATACTATCAAGATTTAATGTTTTCGGTGTATTTCAATTTCTACTACAAAAAACATGCCAAAACTGACGTTTTTATAAGTAATTTGACGAGCTCTATCCAATCATGGTAAAAAAACGCAAAATTTTTCTTTGTTGAATTTCGAATTGTTGGTACTTTATGATAAAAAATAAGATAAGAATTTTCTACCTTATTAATGAACGAAGAACTGGCCAAAGAAACTTAACCCATTTTGTTGGATGTACTACATAAAGTGCTTTTAAATTTTTCTTATATCTAAAATAAAAATAAACAATCATTCAAAGAATTCTTATTTAATATTAAAAAAAAGTTTTACTTTCGATCAATTTTAAGATAAGATTTCATTAACCATCCGTATGATGGTCGATTATATGAACGTAATCCATAATGAAAATAAATCAGAACATAATCCATATCAACATATTGATCAAATGCTTGTAAAAAATATCTTATAACAAAAAAAGGAAATCAATGTTTTTTTGTTTTGTTTTGATAAAGAAAAAAATATTCTTACTTAAATAAACATTCACGAAATTTAATAACTGTTTTAAATTCACTATTTCTAATAAGTTCTTCATTTGGTAAACGACATGCTGAAAAAACAATTGTTTTACGACCAAATTTATCATCGCCACAGCATTCAATAATTCCGTATTCAGCTATTTTTGCCATTAATTGATAATCAGCATCTTCTGTATCATGTAATTCCTTTAAATATAAACAAACATTGATTAAAAGATAAGTGTGCATAAGGTGCTGATTGGATGCAGAATATATTTGATCACTTTATTAGTGAAATATAGCGACTGTTTTAGCAATAAGTTTATGCTAAATTGTTAGAATTGAACCTTCATTGGACTCTCACTTGCTTAGTATTAGTTCATGAACCCAATAAAAAATACCAGTCTGGCTGTAAAAAGAAATTCTCTACATCTTCTACATTAAAAAAATTCAAGAAAATTATAGGTAAATCAATAATAACGGTCTTTTAACTAATTTCATTTTTTCACCTAACCCTAAGAGAAAGCAATGGCCGAATTCTGTAAATTCTGAGCTAAGAGAACTCCCAAAAGGATGTTAGTATTGGTTTGGGTATGTAGTTGATTTCAGTTTCTGTTTTTTCCACACATCTATGAAAGACTTTAGCTGAATTTTTCGATGAAAATAAAATCACTAGCAAGGTTTGAAAAGTATATGAATTCACTTATATTTTCGTGCTAGTTTCAAATATGCCATTGATTTTGTTTACAGGTCAGATTAATTCTATGAAATACACTCAAAACCAGTCCAAAAAACTACTTTGAATCTAATGCACACACTTTAAGACTTTTTGAATAAAGTAATAGTAATTGTTATATGAAATGAGGTAGAAAAGTAATGTTCGTTTTAGATTGATACTAAGTAGATGAGGGTCCAATGAAAATCTAATCCTAACAGTTTTGTGTAAATTTCTTACTAAAAGAACTGCCATATTTCATCAATAAAGTGGTCGAAAATATTTTATGGGTCCACTCAACATCTTATGCATTTCTGTCATTCTAAGATAATAAAAAAAAAGATTTCGCTAACTATTGGTTCATTTCCTCCTAATTCTGATTCAAAATCATCATCAATAATTCCATCTGATGTTATATTCCCTTTGATTAATCCTCGATTTTTATTTGAATTTGATGCCATACCATTATCATATGGATCTAAATGTTAAAGCAATAAATTATATTATCAAAGAAACAAAATAAAAAAAAGAACAAGGTCAGTAAATTCAAAAGCGTTATTTACCGCCGCTAATATTCTCATCATCACTGAAATCCAAATCTTGTTGTTGATTGTCAAAACCAAGTTGCTGCCGTATATCGGCACCATCTAAGAGAAGAATTGTCCGTAAAACAATATTAGTAAAAGCATTAAAATTTAAACAAAAAAAAAACAAATTTTATATTATTTATATATATCCCATTTAAAAGCGTTAGCTGTTAGTTAATCTAATTTCAGCTGAACTATTTTTATTCTTACCGTAGTCTAATTCATAATCATCGAGTTCTTTACAAAAATATGAGATAAGATTTATTTTAGAGATTTATTTATTTATTTAAATAGATTTGAAAGAAAAAATTAAATTATTTACCTTGATCAGCTATGAAATCAATATCATGTTCATCATATTCAAGTTGTGGAGGATCTTCAATATTTGTACGTCCTGTTGGAACATTATTCCAATAAGGATGCTTGTCTAAATTAAAAAAACAAATCCAAATAAAAAGATTTTCTTTTTCAATGAAAAGTTTCGATTGCAATAATTAAACTACATTGAACTGTTTATTTATGTAGATATAAGCAGAAACAAGACAAAAAGAAACACTTTCAAGATCTTATTTATTTAATCAATATTTTATCATAATAAAACTATTTTTCGTAATGTAATTTTTTTTTATTAACAATAGTAACAAATTTAATAAAAGGAAAAAAGAAATAAGCCATACCCAATCAATCACTACACATTCAAATTCATGCATGATTACTCAAGTTGAGACGATACATGCGTAATTATTTTCACAAATACACAATCTTGCAAAAACTGCACAAGTCTTCTAAGTAATGTTTACATCAAGGGGGAAACGGCGGATTTTCGGGATTTTGAATCCCAATAAAAATCCAAAAATCCGATGATAATCCCAAAAATCTAATATAATCCCAAATATCTCATGTGAATTCCAGAATTAGGATTAAAATTATTAGGATTTTATGATTATTTTAAAGGGCAACTATACACGAGTAAGTGTAATCCCGTGACTATCCGACTTTTTCTTATAAAAATGGTGCGCATTCAATCTCTTCGTGTTTTAAAATTTATAGTTCCATAAAGATACTGTAGTGAATAGTAGCACTATTCCTTGTAGAAATGTCATCTTATGTGAGATNCAATACAAAAAAAACAAATAAGAAAAAATGGAACAAAAAGAGAGTAGGGTGGGGGGGGGGGGGGGGGGGGGGGGGGGGGGCGGGGGGGCTTAAATAATCTCGTTTCTTTGTAAAACTTTGCATGTATTGAAATAAATTATTGACACTTACCGAAATCAGTCTTTCGTTTGATTTGATGATGAGATGTGTGAGTGTAGCTGCATGAAGCAGAAAAAAGCATAAGAGATCATCATAATGGTACGCACCAATGATACGCAAAGTTCTCAAACGAGTGGATAAGGCCAAGAAGTTCATTGAAATGGAGATGCATCACTATCCATTGCGACTGATTGAATATCATCCAATGGAAGAAAACAAAGAATTGTATTAAATTAATGATAACGTGCAATTAATAAATTAAAATGAGAAAAGACGTCTCGTTCAGTTATTAGCAGTGTCAGACGATGATTAAGATGAGCAAATCCCCAGAGAATGTCAGTGAATGACAGATAGAAACGTGTAATCAATGTCATATATTGCATGATACAAACGGCTATTTCTGCACTTTTTCATAGCTATACTCTCGTTTTTATATTCATTGGCAGACGATTTTTTTTTCATTTCTTCATGTTAGCCTTTCACATAAGAAATGACAATGTATGTTAAGTATAACTGTTAGTATAGAAATGGTGACGAATGAACGAATTTTTTTTGTCATATTTCATTGCACCAGACATATTTCATATAAAAAAACTGATCAACAGCTGAGGGAAAATTTTTTCAAATTGAAATAAATTCTCCAAATTTGACAACTAATGTTCATTTATAATATTAAAGAATATTTGCTGAATAAACATGTCTAGTTCTATCTAAAGAGTATTATTTACAGATATTGTTTCAATACAATAGAATATGATGTGAAATCATCGAAATAAGATAAAGAAAATTCAAACTAAATGATTTGGAGTTTAATATGAATTTTGGTCAATTAAAGAAAAAGAAAATCTTTTTCAAAATTCATTCGATCAGATCTAAACTCAATTTAGGTCCACTATGTTTCTCAAAATTTTAGTTCGAAATTGAATCAAACTAAATTATTTGCCAATCATTCCTTTGTCATAACCAGCAATAATCGAAATCGAGCCTCTGAGGTCTTTCTCAGGTATTTCTTCTCGTTGAAAAGTTATTTTTTAGAAAAAGCTTTTGTTTTCTTAAATGTGATGTTCTGAGTGATATATGGTCATTTATGAGCAGATAAAAGCCGCTTTTGAGCAAGAAAGTAGCATGTTCGCCTGCTTATGCAAAAGTTCCCGCCATGCGCTGGTAGCAGTGAATCATTTTGTGTCCAATGTATGAACAAGGGTGTGGCTGTAGATGTTGGAAAATAATATACCCACACCCACACCCACACCGTATATTGCTATTATCCATTGATGAATAGTATTCTAGGAGTTATTAAGTTAGCCATTAATGTAGAGAAGCTGTTTCTGCCTCTTACGAAACGTGCCTGAACACAAACGAATGAACGAACGGAAAGCAAAAAGTAAAATACTAATAGCAGTCTAAACAGTTTGTTTTCGACCAAAGATCAAGGATAGTGCCATTTGCATACATTGGTATTTTTCACAAGTACATTGAGAAGAGCTAATACTTTCGATTTAGAGGAATTTAATGATAGTCGATCGTTCGAGATAATAAAATTGTAAATGTACACTTTTGAGATGGCAACCTTGGTATGTGGTCTAGTGGATCCTCTCATAAAACGGATATTTTGGGTGCTATTAATCGAATTATCATATCTCAGCAAAACTGATTCATTGGATCAAGGAGTTTCGCTATACACCAAAACAAATAGCTCAACAAAATGAGATCATATTTGCCCAAATATAGATCGTCACCCCATTCAATCGCTGGTATGCGGAATATCTGAGGGTAAATATATTTGACTTCTTAAAACCATTTTTTAATTTCAACTCATAATGAATAATACACTTTCGTTCAGTGTTCAATTCTCTATTCAACAGTATATAAACTGAATATTAAACCATGTGAAGACTCTACCAATACTCATGAATCAGATATTTTATTAGCCTAAATCATAAAGATCATGAAAGTGTCTATTTGATAGAACATCAAAATAGAGTGAAAGGTTCATCGCTCAAACTGAAACTTATAGAAGAATCTACTAACACTGACTTCTATAATTGGTGACAGTTTCACGTCAAATAGTTTTTGTTTTCCAATTGTATCAAATATCATCCACAATTCTCTTCGCCCTTTACTACAACAAATGACTGTGCTATGTTGTGATAGCGCTCGTTGGGTCAAACTTCAAGATCACAGACTTTGAGCCTATTTTATAAGTAGGATAGAAGTGAAGTGAAAAGTTCAGAACTATATCACGTACCTGTGAGGATATGTGGCATTAATCCGATAATCATATCTCAGTCAAAATTAATTCATTAGATCTAAAAATTTAGTTATATTCCTACAAAAGTTAGCTCTAGAAAATGAGATAACCTTCGTTGAAACTATTGTTGACCTAAGAGTGCTTTAGAAGTACAAATATGTGATCAAAAATTTGTACAAGAAAATTCATATCACTGTTTTCGTCGTTTCATTATGTATATCTGTATTTTATGGCCAAGAGAGATTTTAAGTGTGATACCATCGCATGAACAGCTAAGCGAAAATTATAGATATGCTTTCATTAATAATTTATTCATTTCTGTTTGTTAGAAAAGAATACAGTAAGACCTTTTTTAGTGAACATCTCTCTAAAGTGAACGCCTCCTGATTTTGAACGCTTTTGAAAAGCCTGAAAAATCAGTTTTTGCTGTAAATGCACCTCCCTTAAATGAACTCCTCCATACTGTGAACGCTTTTTTTGGCAACATGCGAAGTATGTTCAATCACTGCGTGGTCCGTGGTACTTCTACCATGAGAATACTTTTCATGATTGTTTTTATAGCATGTACAGAGGTTAATACAACAATAACAAGAGATGTCATCATTGGAAATAGTATGATTGCAGCAAATATTTGAATTTGATTTTGAACATTGAATTCATATAAAAAGAAAAAAAAAATTGCGAATTGTATCGAATGTGCTTAAATCTTGGTTTTAATGATTTTGTATTTCTTTTAATGAATGTAAAAATTTCTGTTGAATAGCATTATCATTCGTTTATTGCCATGTAGGTAACAGGAAGTAATATACTTATGTAATAAAATTTGTCACCTCTATCATATTGTGCTCGCCAATAGATCCACTTGGATTATCATGACAAAATAAGCTGACAGTCTTGAATTTGCCATTCCTGGGTACAAATTATTTCGTTAATCGTTACTTTCTTTATTTTACTGTCATTGTTTACATATTTCAATTTGAAGAGCTCAACGGATCGTCTAAGTCACTTTGCATATGTTGTCAACCTTCTGATTCGTTAAAATTTCATTAATATTATTTGGTAATAGAAAATGATATGTATTTACTAACTGCGTAAGAAAAGAAAATTATACTTAATCTTATGCATCGTTCTATGCTCTATACCATGAAAGTAAATAATACTCATCCATCACTTTATATTAATCTAGTTTTCGCATGTTTCTCAATGACAATAGACCTGAGTTAACTGCAAAATTAAACAAAAAATGAAGATTTTTATTTAAAATTATAAAAAATAATAGTTTTGTTTTTATCTGATATAGAATAACAACGTCGATGATATGTAAGTATAAAATAATATAAGATTAATAAAAAAAATTAATAATAGATAGTTATTTCAAGATACATCGATGACAATAACAACTATATAATAACTATGAAATGCAAGCAGAAAAATAAATAATTCATCATAATTGATTTTTGACACGGCCAGCTATGAGTGCATTTTGATGTTATATGATTTGTCAGTAGAACTATATACATGATAATAAAGAACAATGACTGCCTATACCCCAAGCAATCGAATAATTGCATACTCTAGTGATATAGCAAAGGTTATATAAAATGCCATTGCTGGTGACTCCAGATTAAATTACTGTCTTTATTATTTTTTTTTCTGTTCTACTTGTTTAAATTTTGTCAAAGGTCGGTTAGAATATAGTTGGTGCAAACAACTGTTTCTCCTGATTTGTTTAATATTTCAATTATAGATACTTCAATTGTACGCTCGATACAATTTTGAACAAATCTGATCTTCATATCTGAAATCTATTTATCATTACACTTCAAATTCAAATGCTATTGATTCATTTTGGACATTTCTATATTAAGGTATATTATCTATTTCGCTTTATTTTATGTAATACGATCAGTATGAAGTAAGATATAGCATATCATAAATATTTAACCATTCATTGCTTACCATATGATAGTTACATCATAGTGAAGCGTTGATTATTGTATTCAATTCACTGTAATGCTTTTATTTGGAATTGTTTAATTAAATAAGAAATCATTGAATGCGCCTTTTTCTTAAACTTTGGAATTTTACATTCCGTGGACATACTCTGAAGATGTCATTTCTCTATTATTTTATAGTCGTTACTCATCGAATGATATTCTCATATGATTTTATTACATTGCCTTTTGAGATAGTTTTCTGGTAAAAAAGTTTTGCAAAAATGAACTAAGTAAAGTTTTTTTTTCAGAGTAGAAATGTACTATCAATAGTTGCTTGTTTTTGTTGTTGTTGTCAACTTACATATCTAAAAATAGATTTTCACAAAAATTTTCCAGTTATCTAAAAACATTATTAGACTCATCGGCTCGATTTCCATCGTTGTGAACAATTATAAATGACTTCAAGGTATAGAAGAAAATTTTTGTTTATATATATCATATGTCATATTCATCCGTGGGAGAGTACCAATACGATAAGAAAAACTATCGCAGACAATTTCGAATAATAACATTAACTTGTTATAAAGCGATTTATGTTCCTTTTTTAAATAATGTCCTTTTGTCAGGGAAATGAAATCAATGAACACATCTCTTGAATTACATTCTGATTGATGCTTTATAAGATAATTCGCTTAAAGCTATAGAACATTCAACATTAGCCTTTAGTTTCAGTTGAAACAACTTCTTTTTTATGGTCTCCGTTATCAAAACAAAACGGTGATTCCGCACATCGCTATTCCAAATCAATATTAATCAAGTGCAATAAAATAAAATGAAGTCATAAAAGCCTAATTATAGTAGCGGAGATATGTTTAGAGCAATTATATTTTTAAGTTTTCTTCTTGATGGTATTAACTTGCAAGAATCTGAAAAAATCTTTATGCATCTGAAAGGATTCTCTATTAGGATTGGTAGATCCAAAGACTTTAGCAAAACTGCTGAGATAAAGATTTGCAAAAAATCAATATCTCCATAAACAAGTATCTGGCTTCTAGTCAAAGGTTTCGAGAAAAGATTTTATTTGACAGAGCAAGATAATACCTCTCTATGATCTTCCTTTATTGAACTGCATTCAATTTATACAAGGTTCCAAAGTGTCAAACATGGCAAAAACATTCAAATTTTGAATCAACAAAAAAAACATTTTGCTAAGAATTATTTGCTCTATCAAATAAAATATTTTCTCAAAAGCTTTGAATGGGAACCAGAAATCTGACTTTGGAGGTCTCGGTTCTTCACAGACTTTCATCTGAGCAGTTTTGCTGGAGTCTTCAAGATTAGCAATCCTAATAGAGTATTCTTTCAGTTACACAAATATCTTTTTCTAAATTCTTGTTAGCTAATACCCTCGAGAGGGACACTAAAAAATACGACTACTCTAAACTTATGCCTGCTACTATACTTCTCAGATTTTACAGTCATTAAATTGCCAAACCAAATGAAATATTAGTTTTTTCACATGATGTCTTCTATGAATTTCCCTGGAAATACATTGAATTCTTAATATATTTTATCGATGCATAGATATAGAAAATATAAAAAGTCATGGGTACATCATGACATAGCAGAAAATTGTTCTACATTTTGCTAGTATCAATACCACGGAAAGAAGTACACACAGGGTGTTATAACTCGTATATTTTCGATCAGACACACTAGGACTTAAATAAATTTCTAGGGAAACCCATAGAAATCATCGAATCAATTTTGAACTATTTGAGTGAATTGCAACTTTTTGGTACAAATAGTACGAAAAACTAACATTAGACGTACACAATTTTCAAGTAGCACATTTGGTTATACCATTATGTCTATCTTATACAGCAAAAGTTTCTGAACACTTTACTAACTAATAAGCGAGAGACAAAGTGTAAAGTTCAATTTCTGCTTAACTCAGTGATTAAATTAATTTTTATTCGACAAGAAGACTCGACTCATGTTTACAGTTCTGTAAGAAAAGTGAGTAATCAAAAACAGTTCACAATATATTTAAACTTGTTCATCAAATTCTTTTGAGTTAAATTATGCATGAAAAGAATGTTTTGGAGTTGGTTTAACTGAAAATATCTGTGGAAAGACGTTACTGTACACTTTTTGGTACAATTTGAATATATTCGGGATAGTATCAGCTAGAAGATTGAAAATGTTACTGTACAAAGCGAATGAATATACTATTCTTTTTTGCTACTCCGGTTCTCAATTGTTTTATATATTGATTTTCTATTTAAGCCTTTCCTAGCCTGTAGATGTGGTAGGTTTGTATAACTGCACATTAAAAAAAGAAATAGTGTCAAAAGCAGAAGTATAGGAACGGAAAGATGTATGAACCAGTGAATCATAGGTTTCGATAGTGTTTCTTTTTTTCTCAGCCAAGCGTCTCCATTATATGTCTTGCTTACAAATGCCATTTTTTCTAGGTGTGAACCCTGTGATTTAGAAACGATACAAGATAAAAGTATGAAATTTGATATACATATAGCGAGCTTCGAGGAAAATAGAATTTAAAAAAAAAACATTTTAAAATCGTTCGATTCGAACGAAATTTATAGTGTAGATACTCAAAAATACTAATTTAAAGTTGATCATGTTAGAAAACTTGAAATTTATTGACAACACTAGACCAGTTGTACCTTATACGAAATAGTCAGCGATTATTTAAAATATCAAAGACAACTTAAATTATATGAAATCAGATAAGTTTAAAAAAATTCTCTTATGTAAAAATTTTCATTCTTAAAAGTAAACAAAACTTTCATCAGCATACTGAGTCCCACAAACTCTAATACAAATTTTTGTTTTTGAAAGTTTTAGACGGCTTTTTATATGATTGTATTTCTTTTGATAAGTAAGCCATGTTTCCGTTCTTTGATATTTTGATGTTAATAATTACTTGTTTACTTTGTTAAAAGTCAGCGACAGACGATTGTTGATGAGAGAACAACAGCACGTACAAAACATTAAGATATGAGTATTATATATAAAGCATAATCACTTAATTCTTTTTTTGTTTTTTCCAATATTCATGTCAATACTAACTGAAATCGATACGAGTTTCGATTACTTTAAAAAAATATTCATTAATGAATAAATTATTATCAAAGTACGATGAATATATCTTCATTGATGTTACATATTCATTTACATAATTCTATATATTTAAAGACATACATCTTTTGAAATTCTTAAAAAATTGAATAATTAAGTATTGATTGCCAAATTACTAATAACCAATGTTGTTGTTCTCTTAACGATATCTTAAACAATGACCTTCACGATAGATAAGACTACTAAAGTACTTAAATGATCGAGCAAAAAATATATCACTTATGTTAAATTTTGAGGTAAAATGATACCATCGACTATTTAAGGTTCATTGGTTCTTTTTTCAATGATATTTCTTTAATAATTAAGAAATTTCAGTTCTATTTGACGGAAAATGAAAATATTTCCAAGAGAATTTTTCTTTCATTAAATGTGCTTTCTTTCTATTATACTCCATCTATTTAATTTATTATGTTCATATTCATGCAGTACAAGCATGACTTGTATTTTAGATTACCAAAGAATAACATAATTCTGCGCATCCAATAACGGACATTCAGAATATGACTACTGATGAGACGAATTTTAGTTCTTCTCCCTGATTATAGAATAAATCAATTTCTGTCTGGTCAAGGCTCTACTACTACTATTGATCTTGCAGATACTATTTGCATAATATGTAGGATAGACTTAAAGCTATACAACTATCGGTTAGTGTGATGCTATTGATATTTATACTATTCCGTTAGTGTAAGCCTCGACTGTATGATCAACAAAATTCCCATCAGACAACAACACATCAAACCGAGATCTGCTCAATAGTATACTTGAACACTACTGATATAACTCATAGTTCTGGTTTAACTAAGACTTTACTATATTTGGATGTTACTAATCATGCAGCAACGTGTTTAATATTGTACTGAATTTGTTGAAACGGATTTACTTGCGGTAATGAAATAAAATAATTAAAAAAATTCCATGTATTTGATAAGAACTATCGTCTGTGTGAACTTTAGAAACAAACAATATATTTACTTTTTCTTTAATTTGGTGACTTTTTGTTTACTTTAACAAAATTTCATTGCTTGAAATAGTCGAAGGATTTTCCCAAAAAAATTCATCGAATATAGCTATTAATTAAATACATATCATCCATAGATTAATTATTTGTTTCTATATACTTAAGGGATTCTCTTAAACATAAATATCGTAATACAAAAAATAGTAAAAAAAGTTCAAAGACAAAAATGTTAGTTTCTTTATCTAAAATCATTGTTCAGATATTTCTATTTTTTTGTTTTGTTGTATATTTCATATACGAAACAAATGAAAAAACCCTGCTAGGTATACAAAGGAAAAACAAGAAGTCTGTACATGTGGCAAACGAGCACGGTAATACATACTAATGAAAGGATGAACTGGACAGAAAAAAAAAGAAAAAAAATAAGAAATCAAATATAATGAAACTAAAAAACATAGAATATTTTCTAAATTAAAAAGAAAGACAAAACATCCATCTATTTTGCTTTCTCTATTCAAAAAAGAACAAAGATGATTTTTACGAGGCGGTCTAATAAATAGAATATATATATAGATAATCATATGCGTTGATGATTTTCTAAAGCATATTTGACTATGGTTAATCGTGCTGTTCATTTAAACAAATCTAGTTTTCTTTTCTTTCCTTTTTTTTCTTTCTAAAAAATACAAAAACAATAAAAAATATCCTAACCACTGTAATCGGGTATCGTCCTTGAAACACAATCAAATCGATAGTTTTCCTCATAATTACTGTCCCAATAGTCTTGACCAACATATGTTTCATAACCAACACAAAATTGGATATTATTTCCAACACATATACGATCTCGATCAATATCTAATGCAAACGTAAATCGATCATGTGTACCATCATGTGAATCTGTAATATATGTGGCATTATGATCGTGAAATGTAATCCAATTGTCTGTTGTGAAACGAATTTTAACTCGTTTATTATAACCGAACGAAATAATTTTTACTGTTCCATATATTTTATTATCAATAGCATCTAAATATAATTAAAAAACCTTAATCAAATACTGACCTTAGAAATATATTGATAGAAACAAATTAAATCACACTATTCAATAGACTTACTAGCTTGTTCTAATACAACTTTATGACGTAAAACACGGTCGTCAAAACCTTGAGTATGAATAGGATTTTCAAATTGTTGTTCTAGATAAGTTATTAATTTCATACGTTCTTGATAAAATGATAATGAATTTTCATCATAATTAACATGCAAATCTTTAAAAGCAGCACTAGGTACATGAGGTAATTCGTCGGATTTAATTACTTTAATTTGACTTAAATCAAGACCAAAATCATCAGCAAAACGTACATTTTTCTTTGGATATGCATCAACTCGATCAGCATTAGTTAATTTAACTGATTGTGATTTTTTTCTTTGATAACCAGAAAAACTTGTCTGTACAGTTAATCTTGATTGAGTAGATGATGATTTGTCATTAGTGTGTTTTTTTGTTAAATAAGCTTGACGTTCAGCATCAAGATCTTCAACTGGTGCAGTAAATTGAGTTTCTTCTGAAGTTGTACTTGCATCTGTTTCATCATTGTCATCCGTGGATGGAGGAGAAGGAGGAGGTGATACGAATACACGTCTTTTTACTTTTATTGCAATTGGCGCACTGGTAGCAGTTACTAAAACTTCTTCAGCAGGCGTTTCTTCAGTGGATTGTTCTAGATATTAAAAGAAACAAACATTTTTTATTGAATATATATATATATATATAATACTCTTACCTGAACTTTCAGACGCATTAATTGGTTCATTAGATACAACATTATCAGTGTCGACTTGATTATATTGCTCTTCCTGTTGACGTTGTTTACGTTTCGAACGAAAAAAACGTGATCGTCGTAATGGTGGTCCAGAAGATGTATTAGATGTTATTGTTGTTACTTCATTATCTGGTTCTTGTGTTGTATCACCATTTTCAGGGCCATTGGATTGTTGAATATTCAATGATTGAAATTGTTCTTCAGTCGTCATCACCGAGATTTATGTTTCAACATGTTACCAATCTGAAAACTTAATATGACGAAAAAAAAAATTAAAAAAAAAAAGACAATTATCAATGATCCAAGATATTCGATTTCATTGAAAGTTACATTTAATATTTATTTTAATAGTTTACATGAAAGATCAATATGAATCGAGATATGTTATTGAAAAAAAGATTACTATTTGCCCTTTAAATTTTTACAGTCCGTACATTACATAGAAGTTTTAGTTTTATTCTTCTACCTTAGTGAAATATAAAATTGAAAGAGGACATTAACAACAACACGTCAACAACAAATAACAATTGACGCTATGACTTTACACGAGATGGATACTCTTTCTCTGTGTTGTGCAAAGTAGTCTAACGTAATAGCCCTTCTCTTTTTTTCTGTTCTTTTTCTCGATATCGTCACCATCAATGCACCGAAAGTTTCCTGCCTGATGATCAATTTTTCTTCTTTATTACTGTAGAAATAGTAAGAGAGAAATACTCGTCGGTCTTATTTTCTATTTTCTTTTTGGTGTGTTGTTAGCTCGTATCCTCATGGCACTAAATATGAAGACCTTATTCGGTTAGACAATATGCAAGGCCAACAAACCATAGACATAGATAGAAGAAAAAACCAAGGACACGTGTCTATCTATTAAGAACAAAAGAAAACAAAACTATGTTTTCGATACGATAATAATAACATTTATTTCGTTTTTTTTTCTTAAGGTAATAAATGGATGTGAAGAAGAAAAGGAAGAAAAGAAACGAGAGAGAAAAAAACAAGTTCGAGTAAATCTAACATGAAAGAATAAAACACATAGGTAAACAGAAATCATAGGCTACAGCGTAGGAGGGGTCAGATTTCTCTTATTTTTTACCTTGTGTCAGCAAAATGTTGTACTATTGTCGAAAAGCTTGTCGGCCGAATTTTAGAAGACAATTTTTCTTAGTCATTTTGTGCCTCAGACCTTCTATTATATCTTTAGTTCCTCGTACTGCTCAACAGGTCCTGTGAGCTCTAATAGAAAATTCATTGAAAAATTTTTGCCTTATGTTACAAGTGAATGGATGCAGAATTCCTTCGTCTTCTTATGTTTCATTAAATATGAAAAAGTATTCAGGCACAATAACTATATTACAGTTCGATGAGAAACCTATTCGGTCGACGAAAAAAATGATAGAAAAAAGTAATATCAATTATAGATTTCAACAGAACATAAATCATTTTCATATCTATATACATATCATCGAAAATTCTTGAGTCAATTGATACTAAACCAAACTTACAATGTTGATGTTATTATTGAAATCAATACGATTTCTTGTTCAAGTCCTATGAAAATCTTGCTACTTGATATGTCTCAATAAAAGGATACTTATTAACAGAATGATACGAGGCCATATTATTAAATATTCGAGATAAAAAAAAACATTTTCTTTTACGATTTATCGTTAAATTTAATATCATCAAATAATGATAATTCTAAATATTATCAATATTTGGATTATCATCGAAAATCATTGTTGAAGTTGTACAATTCAATAACAGGTTTATCAAATCGTATACTTTGCAATATATCATTAACAATAAATTCACAATGATAATACGATAATATAAAAATTTTCGTTAAGTAATTAAAACATGTTTATCATCAGCAAACACACACATATATCGCATTCATTGGAAAAAAAACAAATTCTTTTCATTGAGATTGTTTACTATAAATTCAAAATTAAATTTATTGTCAATTTATAACAGTCCAAATAAGGATAAACATTTCACAAGATATAACGAATGATTTATTTAAAAAAACAGTACTTATAAAATCAAAAAGAAGCTCTGTATAAAAATTCAATTTACCATTCAAATAATTAATTTGTCTGAAAGATAAAATATGTTGTATTCATTCTAAAAGAATGATGAAGACTTATATTCATAAATAATAAGTAAGCATTTGAAAAGCAACATTATTTTATTATTAAAACAAGACATTCGAACATTAAAACAAAACAATAAAATTTTTGTCTTCTTTAAACGAATCTACACAAGCCTCAAAAACAAAATACCCAATTTTTCTACAAAATACTTTGTAATACATTGCCTTATTAGCTCTAGTGACCAAAGTCGTGACTCATCATATATTCCTAATCGCTTATTTTTATCCAATCAAAATCTTGACCACTTATGCAGAATAACATTATCTCATTTCTACTCAATAAAAAACCTAAAAAACGACTTAAATTTTTAATAAAACCATTAAAAAGAATTTTATCTTAAAATATTTTCTTATTCGTTTTAAACAGAGTCATAAAGTCATTTTAAAATGGCTATAAAATAATGTTTTTCTTTCTCGTTGGACATTCATTCATTCCTCTTTTCCTCTTTCTTCCACATTTTGCATTTTTATTTTTTCTTCTCTTTATATCCGTCCGTTGATTCTTCCAAGTAGTTGACGTTCTTTTTTTTTTTGTTTCGCTTGTATTGTTTCTCCTTCTCCATCTTATTTTTATTCCCTCTCTCGGCTTCCTCCGCGAAGAAGAGCGCAGAATTGACGAACGAAGAAGCACATACTGCAAGTGATGATGACAGTCTGAAGCAAGGCAGAAAAAGGATATTTAACATCTGTGCGTGAGAGTGAAAAAAGAGGGACAGACAAGCAAAGCGGCGAGGAGAAAAAGTAGGGGCGAAAATGCGGGCCTTTTTCTTATTCTTCTTCTTCACTCTCTCTCTCTCTCTTTTTCTCTTGTGTTCTGGATTTTCGGAAAAGTAGTGAAAGGAAAAAAAAAAAGAAAAAAAAGAAGAAAAAAAAACGAGAGAGAAAAAGAAGAAAAATGACCAAATCTTGTCCCCAAATACCGAGCACTAAGATTAATATTATCCTTAAATGGTTATACTTGTCATTATGCGATCGTTTATTAGGAAATTAACAATACACGAATGTTGTAAAAACAATACAACCAATAACCTATGGCTGATCCAGATTCGCCCACAAATAATTTATCTTCAGTCGTTGATCAATCACATATATCATCTGATCAACAACAACAAGAGTCAACAACAAATAGTGATTGGCCATGGTAAAGAACAAAAGAAACAACTTATTGACACATTATCTGTTCTTTTTCTTTTGCTTAGGCCAACTGATGAACAACAACAACAAAATGCAATGGACTCAAGTGGTTTAATGCATTTAATTGCCACTGGTACTGGTACAAATGTCAATGATAATACTAATGATGAAACTATTGTAAATGTTCCAACAAATGAACAAACATCTGTACAATTATCTGATGATCATCAACAATTACCTCATATGCCTTCATCATCAAATTCACTTCCTATGGATACAGAACAACAAACAACAACAACAACAAATGATGATCAACATCAACAGCAGCAACAACCAGCAAATAAAAATCCACATGATATTGCTGAAATTCATCGTGATATGTTAGCACTTATACCTATACCACAAGCATGGCCACATATTCGACATCAATCAGGTTTTTTTTCTTATCCTGATTTACCACATTTTAATGTTATACGACAAGCGACATTTCGTGAAGGACGTTTTGTTTGTCCATTTTGTACAGTTGATTTTGCTTCTAAAGAAGGCATACGTTATCATTTATATAATTCATGTACAAAATCACCATATCCAAAAGCTTTTTTTCGTTGTTTAATGTGTGGAAGTGAATTAGCTGATCGGAGCTCACTACGTACACATTTAGCACGGCATGTGAGTGATAAAAAAGATCTTTTTTTTTTAAATAATTTTTTCTTCAAAGGGAGCGGAAGACGGTGGTACAGTGTCTACAGATAAAATTGATGTATCACGTAAACCAGCTATTTCAACAACATCTGTTGGAACATCAAATTCAAAAAAATCTAAAAAGAAAAAGAAAGTTTCAAATGATTTAGCACAACCACAACAACAGCAACAACAAACACAAATGATTAATCCAATGATAGCTATGACATCAGGTGTATCACCACGTGGTATTGATACTTATAATATTCCACCAACAATGGTTAATTCAATGTCATTACCAATAATTAAAACAGATTTAAATGATTCTGATCCAAAAGTAAATATTATTTTAATTTATTATTAATTTATTATTATTTGAAATTTAAGCGTAAACGTGGTCGACCGCCAAAAACAAAATCTGATGGAACAACACCACCAATAGCTCCATATACAAAACATACACATATAAATCCTACTGGTTTATCATTAACTCCAACAATGAATAATAATCAAGTTATATTGAATGATCAACATGGAAAAGTATATAGATGATAATTGATGAATTTTTTATATAAAAAAACATTCTTTTGTTTTAGAATGATCCACAAAAAGCTGTTATGCAATCTCCACGTGCGATTGATATAAGTAGTGAGTTAGCTGAATTAGCTCGATCAAGAATGCGAGAAGTAATTTATTTTATATTAAAAAATAAGCAACGAAAAACAATTTTTTGTTTTGTTTATTAGCATATTGAATTTGCAACGGATTCTTTATTGCCGGAACAAGAGCAAGAAATTAATACACGTTTACGTACAGAATCTTTTGTACATTGTCATCGTTGTCGTGGAAAAGCGCAATTTGCAACGCTTAAAAAACTAAAAGAACATTTAAAAACCGATTGTCCATTGGGTCCAGGTAAAATTATAAATATTTGGGGCACATACATCCTCGAAAAATCGATATTAGGCCGAGGATCTTCAAATCCTATAAAATTTTCAACAATATAATAACATTGTCAGGAGGTATTTAACAATCAAGGCTCAAATATAAGTTATTGAACAACCCGAAATTCTCTATGGGACTTAGTTCTATAGATTTAATTTACATTTGAAAGAGCATATCAAAGTTCAGATAAGGAAGCTACGGGTTCATGTTTTTGTGAAACTTGAGCCGACAACAGTTGAACCTCTAGTTCCGGACTCCATCTGATTACTGCAGAGTTCTTTTTTTTAAATTAGCATTTT